AAGTGCGTGCAGTGAAGGCTCAGGTGACTGGGTGCATGTGAATTCTAGAGAGTGCCCTCCCACGAGGGTACAATGCCAGTGCCCCCCCCAGTCCTGGTATAGGGGCACCCTGCCTGGCTCCAGCTCAGCACTGAGCTCATAGCACCCCCGCCCTGCCTCGCATTCTATTCCCCAGACCCAACCTGCTTGGCCAATTTGCAGCCTCTCGCTCCCAGCTCCCGAGAAGGCCTGGAGCAAAGTCAAGGGGCTGGTGGCCAATTAGTGAGGGGGTTAATCAGGGATCTGGGGACCCCCGGGGGGTGGGAAGCCAAGGGCAGACATTGGGGTTGGCAGGAGCCGAGCTGCCTGTCATGAGGCTGGGGGGAGGGGAGCCTGAGCCAGCCGGATGGTGCTGGAAACCAAGGGTCTGCCTATGAATTCATGATTGCGGAACACTGACAGTGAGGAACCTGTGTGACTGTGTGTACACTGTGTGCAAAAGACATGCATGTGTATATATATGTACATGTACAAGTCCTTGAATGTAGTCCTGTATGCAGGACTACATGTATGTACATGACTCTGGTGCCATCTGTATGCACACAGGCAGTTTTGTGTCTGTATATATGTGGGTGTGCTGTGGTATGCAGATGGGTCTGGGTATGCAAGCATGCCTGGACCTGTGTGCACACATGTATATACAAGGCTGTGTGTCTGTGTGCATACATATTTGTGCAGGGGCATGTGCATACATTTAGGTATGTGCTTCTGCATGAGACATGTGTACCTGAAGTTGACATGGTCTGTGTACATGTGATATATCTGTGTGCACAGGTGTGCATACCGGTGTGCAGATATACTGGGCATATGTGCGTGTCTGGGTGTGTGTGCATGTGTGGGTCTTCTCTAAACAGCCAGGAACTTGGACCCCTACATGTGTGGCTGTGTGCATATGCATGTGTGCACATGCCTGTGTGCACACGTCTCCGCATGTAGGGAGTTGGGAGGTGCGGGGTTGGCAGGTTTCAGGCTCCAGGAGAAAATCTGACAGACGAGACTTGCCGCAGCCCCCGGCCCCAGGAGCCTGTTTTCCAGCCTGCAGAAGCTGTGAGCCCGTGAACTCATCTTATATTAATAGCTGCTGTCTCCTCACTTATTGCAGGGAGAAGCGGTCATGGCCCTGGTGGGGGCTGTCCCCTCCATAGGACCTGGGAAGAAGGGGAGGAGAGAAGGGCCCCAGCCCCACCCCCACCCTAAGGCCTACCCCCGCAGGAAGGCAGGGTTCTGGGCCCCAGCCTTTGCCTCCTCCAAGTCAGGGAGCCCCCACTGCCCAGCTCACCCTCCTGGGCCTCAGTTACTGGGTGGGATCAGGCATGGGGTTGGACAACTGGCTAAGGCAGAGAGGCTGGAAGGCTTGGCTACTCCCCACCCTGAAAAACACAGACACACAGGCATACACGCACACATGCATGCACACGTGATGAGCAGCCCCAGGTTGAAAAATCAGGCTGAAAGAGACTAGACAGCTTCAGTTTGAGGGGCACACATGTACCTTCTCTCAGGGGTCCTCGGTTGGAGCTGGGACACAGCCTTCAGAGGCCCCCATTCTGATGAGGATGGTAAAACTTCTGTGTAAATATTTACTAAGGAGAAGTGTAGCAAGGTGTATAAACTGCATCTTCATAGCCACAGGAGGGCTGAGCCAGGGAGGCTTCCTGGAGGACAGAGAGACTTAGGGTACTGGAAGGACCTGAGATGTAGCTGCAGAATCCCAGGAGGAAGGAGAAGCCAGCGGGCCCCACCTCGCACACAGACCCCAACCCAGGGATGGGCTCAGACACCCTCGTGTGGGCCCAGGACTCAAGGCCAAGACTGAAGATGCAGGCTTCCAGAAATGCCTGAGCACCACCACACAACCACACGGAGACACAAGAGGACTCGCAGCATGAGGGTCCACCACAAATGAGGCTGGCCCTGCTGGGCCCTGGAGCCAGAAGTGAGGAGGGGGCCAAGGGCCAAGTCCACCAAGGACCGGATGGGCCCCTGGCCCTGCTCCTTCAAGACCTTGGTGGGTGCTCCTTGGGACTGTGGCGGAGGCAGCCAGGAGGCCCGTTCCTCCACTGCCCCTCCCAAAGGTCTAGGGTGCCTTGGAGACCCCTAAAACTTTCCCTAGCCCAGGACAGGGCTCCCTGCCCTGGTTTCCTTGCTTGCTGTTTCTGAGCTGCTCCTGAAACCAATTCCCTCACCCAGAAAAGAAACAGATTGGGAGTCACAAGAACCTGGTTCAACCCTCAGGTCAGCTCAGCTCTTAGCTGTGTGACTTTAGCAAATCAAATGTCACCTTCAGTGAGGATTTTGAGGGCATCCATATCTTTTTTTCACCTTTAGGCCACTCCATATCGCTTGCAGCATCTTAGTTCCCTGACCAGGGATCCAACACGGGTCCCCAGCAGCAGTGGATAAGCTGAACCCTAACCACTGGATTGCCAGGGAAGTCCAAAGGGGCACCCTCGTTTAAAGAGTACATGCGCTCCCTGCCCCATCTCTGAGGACTTACCACTCTGACATTATCGTATTTTAGTTCCTCTCTTTATTACTGTGTACTCCAGCTAGAATTTACGCTGCCCACAAGGACAGCAATGAATAAATGAAAATTCATTACTCTCAGAGCCTCAACTTTCTCTTCTGTAAAATGGGGAAAGCAATAGTACTCCCCCTCCCAAAGGGGCCATGGTGATGTGTGAGATGTTTGGCATGGGACAGGTGCTTCCTGACTGGGGACCTTTTTTCCCAGGGACCTTCCAGGAAGGTGGGGTGAGGAGGTAAGCCTCAGCCTGACCTGGTGGAGCCTCCCTACTTTGGGCCTGGATTGGCAGTGTAACTCAGCCCAGGCCCGCCCTCCGCCAGCTGTGACCCAGCCCTGTTGGTATGCCCACTTCCCTTGGATTCCTGTGGCTACTATTGGGGAGGAGTCTTGAACACCAGGCAAAAGCGTTCTGGCCAGAGAAACAGTTTCCCCATCTGTGCAATAGGGGTGCTCTGAGGGCCCCACCTCCAGGCCTTACCCATCTGCATAGATGTGGGTTTGGGGTAATCAGAGCTTCCTCTTCAGCCATACCCCAAACCTACTCCTGCCTATACCTGGTGAACAAGTTCTTTTTGGTTCTGAAACACTGAAATTCAGAGTCTTGCACAATTATGTCCTCAAATGCACACATGGGTACACACACACCCTTACCCTCACTCACCTTTGCATAGAAAAAAAAGTCCTTACAGCTCCTGAGTGAGCAGACCCCATCCAACCACCTCCCAAAATGGGGCCACTGGCTCTGAAAATTAACCCGACACAAAGCAGGGTCCAGAATGTCCTAAGCCCTTGGCTTGGGAAGGAAGGAGAGGACAGGGCATCGGCCAGGAGACAGTGCACTGGGTCTGGAAACAAATGTGCCTCTTTTGAATACTGGCTCTACCATTTCCTAGCTATATGACCTTGAGCTGACCACTGAATCTCCCTTGGCCTGTTTCCTGGTCTGTAACATGGAGAAGTTATTACCCGTGCCAGGGGATGCTTGTTAGGCATAAGTGAGGTAACGGATGCAGAACACTTAGTGCAGTGCCCAGCACACAGAAAAAACCTGTGAGTGGAAGCAGCTGCTGATGTTAAGAACACCTACATGCCTTGAGCATATTCTTCATGCCAAAACCCCAAACTAAAGCTCATGTAGGCAGGATGTGAGCAACCTAAACCCAAGGGGGTCTAGCACCAGGAGTTCTAGTCCCAGTGGAGGTGGGGTTCTTGTCTAGGGATGCCTGGGTCTGAACAGAGGAACCCATCAGATTGGCATCCTGGGGTGGGAGGTGTCACCTGCCAGCCATAGTCCACCTGGGTCTCCAGTTTCTTGGATCCCCCCATAGGTCCCCAGGACTGGCCTAATCCTCCCATTCCGGGCTGTCACCCATCACACCCCACACCATCCCTTCCATGCACAGACAAATCTTATTTATCACAAAATCATTTTTTTATTGAGGGTTGGGTCAGGGACAGGAATAGGGATTGCATTGGGGACCCTACTCCAGATGGCAGAGGGCTCAGGTGTTGGCTCGCACCCTGCCTCCTGTAGGGCACCGCAGGGTGAGACCTGGCCCCAGGCTCTGGCTATGGTGCTGGACACCAGGCTGGAGTGGAGCTGGGGTTGCTTGGCCTGGTTCCGACCGCCGACCCGGCTGCAGTTCCCCAAAAACGGCCACCAGAGGGCAGCCGGCCCCCAGAGCAGAGGAATTCTCGGTTTCTCAGGTGATGGCTTCTTAAAAAAATAAAAAACCAGAGGCTGGTGTGTTCCCCCTGCAAACCCGAGGGGGGCGGGCCTGGGGAGAAGGCTCTGGTTTCTATGATCTCTTCGATAAAAAGTAAGCAAAAATAATAACAAAATACGTGGTTTCTCTCTCTCCCTTTTCCCCCTCTAGGAACTGAGGTCAGAAATGAGGGTGTTGGGGACTGGGAGTACCCTGGTATGGCCTGGATTTCAAGGTGTGGGTCTCTTTTTTTCCCCCTTAACACCCATAAATAAATTCATAAATAAATAATAAATAGATATTCTCTTTGTATGTGCACATATATACAGATAAATCTTTCTCTTATCTAGGCAACGGAGTAACTAACCTCTCTGACTCTTTAGCTCAGAAACGCAAAAGTAAAGCAACATGGTCAAGGTCAAGGGAGGGGGAAGGTCAGGGACTTGGAATGGCACTGTGAAACACCCAGCAGCCTGCTGGAGCTCCAAGCCCATCTGGGCTGTGGGACATTTCTGAGTTGGAACCCTGACCACCGGAACATTCTAGAACCATGGAGCCAGCTGGGCCCTGCAGGGATCTGAACAGAATCCTGTGAAACACCCAAAGTCCTAGAACTCCAGAACCAGCTGGGTCTTGGGGTGTGGAGCTGGGGGTTGGAACAAAGCCCTGGAGGACCTAACATTCTGGAATTCTGTAGTGATCAGGGCTGGAGGGTCACCAGGATGAGACTAGACATCACTGGGGGAGCGGGATCGGAAGAGCGTCTTGGAAGAGGAACAGCAGCAGCAGACAGCCCACAGCACCTTCTGCACGTCCTGGTTGCGGAAGGCATAGATGATGGGGTTGATCATGGAGTTGTAGGTGGCAGGGAGCAGGGTGAGATAGGTATAGAGGGTTGGGGAGTGGGCATCGCCCAATAGGCAGTAGACGGTGAATGGCAGCCAGCAGGCGGCAAAGGCGCCAAGCACCACAGCCAGGGTGGCGATGCCCTTTCGGGTGGCCACATAGTGGGAGGCAGGCAGCAGGTGTCGCTGGAGGGCAATCTGCTGGGCATGGCGGCAGACGATGCGACAGATCTGGGCATACAGCTGCAGCATGATGCCAAACACCATGAAGAAGGCAACGGCCAGGACCACCAGATGGTTCTTGGAGAGCGGATAGACCACGCCGCATGTGGCCCGGGCATCCAGGCAGTTCCAGGCCAGCACAGGCAGCAGCCCCAGGCCCAGCGCGCCCCCCCACACTAGGGCCAGCATCACATAGGTCCGCGTCACTGTTGTCTCTGAGTAATAGGTGAGCGCATTGTACAGAGAAAGGTAGCGATCAACGGTGATGGCCAGCAGGCTGCCGATGCTGGCAGTAAAGGCCATGGCCAGCACGCCAACCAGCACCAGGCTCATCACTGCTGAGCCAATGCAGAAGACAGCAGCAAAGTGCATGACCAGGCCCAGGCCCGCCAGCAGGTCTGCCACAGCCAGGCTGCCCACTAGCAGGAACATGGGGGCACGGAAGGTGGGAGTGCCCACGATGATAGCCACCACCAGCGCGTTCTCGCAGGATACCAGTGTGCCCGAGATGCACAGTACTACGTCCCAGGCCGTGGGGGAGGGCAGCGGTGCAGCAGGGCCTGTGGGCCCCTCTGTGGACCCCATGCTGCTCATGTTCATGTTTCTGGGGCCAGCAGAGAGCCAGGCCAGGGGGCTGCCTGCACCCCACATCATGGTACCTGCAGGAGAAAGGCCCTGTGAGAAGCTGGCAGGGCTGGGTGCTAGGTGCTAGGTGGAGGGGCCTGGAAGCAGTGGGGGTCTCTCCTCAGGATACCTGGCTGGGTCCCAAGTTGCCCAGCCCCTCCTATGCCCTGAAGCTCCTTCCAGGATACCCCTGTCTTCGACTACGCCCCTAGGCCAGCAGGGGTCTGCGGATCCCTGTGGCGGGTCATTCCACTCTCCCTTCTAACTCACTGAGTCCTGCAGCTCTCTGTCTCCCACGCGTGTGACCAGGGAGGACAAGATGAAGGACTACCATAAGTGGACGGAGGCCCTTAGGATCCCGGAGAAGCCGGGAAAGGCCCAGGACGCGGGGAGGGGACATCTCAAGACTGACAGCAGCTCTGCTCCCTCCTCGCCAGGGAGGATGACGCTCAGTTTCTGAGGCTCACCAGACCCCTCACGATTCTCAGTAAGGCCAGCCCCAGGCTCCGCCCCCAGAGAATGCTCGTGAAGCTCCCGCCAGCCCCCACCCTGCACTCCTGGGGTAACAACATCTGGGAACTCAGTCCCCCAACACACACTCGCTCAGACTTCTGCCCCCAGCTGGACCCCTCTTTCTGCCTGAACCTCTGGGTCTTTGGGACAGACACCCACTGCTGGAAGCCAGGATCCCGGAGTCAGATCCCTCCCTCTGCCTGGACACCTGGATCTCGGGCCTGACTCCGCCTCCTGTCCGGACGTCTGGATTTCTAAGTCGGACACCTCCTCCTGCTCGGACGCCTGGGTCCTGGCCCAGACGCCTCCTGTCGGTCCAAACTCAGATGACCATCAGTCCCTTCAGGGCCTCGGGTCCTTGCAGGAGTGCTCACCCCACGCCGGGCTACCCAGCTGACAGCTCTTATCACCCAGAACCTGGATCCCCTCCTGTTGGCCCAGACTCAGGGTTCCTGGTCTCAACCTCCGACCCCAATCAACCGCTGGGAGCCTGACCGCTTGCCCAGCGCCCCAGTATCCTGCGTGCCCTCTCGGATGCCTGGTACCCAAGGCGGGGCCCGCTACTCACCTCTCGGGACGGGGCGCGGCCGGGCCGCGGGGAGGCTGCGCTCGGGTCCGGGCTGCGCAGGGTGTGTGAGGACCCCGAGAAGCCCCCGCGGCCGCGGGAGAAGCGGCGTGAGTCACCCCGCCCCGCCCCGCCCCCGACCACCGCTTTGGTGACGTCAGTGGCCCGGCTGGCCAATGGGTGCGTCGCGCTGGGGCGCAGCGCGCGCCGCTTGGCATAGTAATGAGGCCTCGTGCCGCCCGCTCCCCCATTCATAAAAAGCGACCGTGGCTGCGGCTCCGCCCCCTTCTGAGTCGGCCCGCGCTGTCCTTGACGCTGCGCCCTCTACGGGCCGGGGGTTTCGGGGTCGCTGGTGCGAGAGCCCATGAAGTCTTAGGGAGGTTGGGGGGGGGGCATGTGTTAGAGGGAGAGGAGGAAAGGGGCCCCGGAGAGTTTGTGGAGGTGATGGGACCCTCGGGTGCAGAGACAGACTGACGGAATTCAGGTGACGGAGAGAGAGTGATGGGGGCTGAATGGGCGTCCCCGGTGAGGATGCAGGGGTTACCAAGACGATGGGGCCCTGAGGTGATGGTGACAGGAGCACGAGGGAGCAGGGAGGTGGGTGGAAGTGACGGTATGAACGTGGTGACAGGATCTTGGGGGGATGGTGGCAGCGAGACGCTGAGGTAGAGAAGGAAGCCCCCAGGGCAACCATAGCAGTGTCAGGGTGACTCTGGGCCATGATGGGGTTCAGGGATGAGGTGGTGGCGAAGGAAAGGGAAGGTGGAGGGGCTGGGGGATAGTTCTTCAGGTCACCGTGACCCTGTCACAAGTGCTGAAGTGACCAGACTGTGATGAGGGTCATAGGGTCCTGGAATGAAGATACCTGGTTACTGCGGGCCCCCAGGTGAGCGGAACAAGGTGGAGGGTCTGGACTGACAGTGACCCGTCCGGCCCTTGTGATGCCCGGACTGGCAGAAGGAGCCGGGCGACGTCAGTCATGTCAGCCCAATAGCGCCCTCACGGCACAGGGAGGGGTGGGCATGGCAAGATTTCAAAACTTGAATTATTTATTCTAGGATCTGGAAAGTCAGCGGGGAGGGGTGGGGGGGGTCACTTCCCCGAAGCAGCAGGAGTCGGGGAGCCGGGAAGAACTTGGAAGCAGAAAGCCATCAGCTCAGTCCCCAGGGCAGGCCTCCCATCTTAGGCACCCTGGCAGGGCAGGGCAGGGCACAGGGAAGGAACTCCCCCTTCCCCACCTCTTCCTGGTCCCAGGGAACGTCTCCCAGCTGACTTCTCCAGATGCGACAGATATGGCCAGTTCTGGGCAAGGGGAAATAGCTGCCTCCTCCTCCCTCCAACTCGAGCTCTGATCCTCATTGGAATCAACCAGGCCTGTGGGATGGAGCTGGGGGGCAGGGACCAGGTGAGGGCCCAGATCCCAGGCCCCACCACTTATCCTCCCAGCACAGAACCACTGCAGTGTGGGGCAGGGAGAAGGAGGGGGTGGGCCAGTGGCAGGGTACATGGGGAGGTCAGGGCTGGGGAAGATACTGTACTTCAGGTTGGGCATGGTGAGTTTGGGGTGGTTAGCAGGTGGTGTGGTCAGCAGTTAGTTTGAGTGGATATCTTAGGCACTTTGGGCCTGTTTCCTCTAGAGACAGGGACTTCCCACTTGGCCCAGTGGCTATGATGCCGCACACCCAATGCATAGGGCTGGGGCTTGATTCCTGGTCAGGGGAACTAGATCCCACATGCTGCAACTAAAGAGTTTGCATGCTGCAACTAAAAAGATCCCATGTGATGCAACTAAGACCCAGCACAGCCAAATAAGTAAATAAAAGTTAAGAAAAAAGATAGAGACCTTGTTAGTATCTTCTGCATGGGATTGTTGGGAGGGGCCTGGTACATTATCAGCACTGGCTGTGCTGGCTGCCCATCTGTCTGGCAAGAGGAGGACACCTGGGAGGCTTGGGTGTGCAGGGAGGGAGCAGAGAGGAGGAGCTTCAGGGAAACCCACCAGTGAGAGCACAGACTGTGGGTGAGAAGGTTCCTGCTCCTGGGCTTTGCCTGGCTGTTCCCTCTGCCCAGAAGCCCTTCACCCCATTCAAGAGTCTCTGCGGCCAAGTCAATTTCTTCCGGAGCAGGCTTTCCCAACCTCTATCCTAGATGACCACTCCCACCCCATCATTCCCTGCTTTCCTTGATTTATCATTTTTTAGAGCACTTAGCACTCCTGAAGTTATAAATTTATTGTTTTAAGAGAAAATACATGTCAGCCCCACCAGGATATATGCTCCACGAAGGTACAGACTTTGTTCTGGTCTGTGTTGGAGAACAAAGCCTGGCATGGAGGAGGTGTTCAATAAATACTTGCTGACTGGATGATTGGACAAAAAGCAACATCCGAAAAAGAGAAGGAAAACACAGAGGGAGTAGTAATATGCACAGTGTCGAGGAAAGCGGGGCATCAAAGAGAGTACAAGGACATCACTGCCCCCAGGAACCCAGATGTTCACTTTCTCCCCTGTCAGAGCCAAGTCCCAACAACTGTCCAGTTGGTCTCAGAGAGGAATGAAGGCTGCTGGGAGGTTGGCATGAGAGGGTGTATGAGAGGGAACCCCTTTGTGGTCCAGTGGTTAGGACTCTACAGTTCCACTGCAGGGGGCATAAGTTCAATTCCTAGTCAGGGAACTAAGATCCTGCAAGTCATGTGGCGCGCGCGCGCACACACACACACACAAATAGAGAGGGGAGATGTATGAGAGACCATTTTCTCTTCTGAGTGGCAGTGATCTTTTTTTATTTTCCATAGTTTATTAATCCTCTCATGAAAAATCTGCACAATCACCACAGATAAAGTCACTGCAGGATCTTTAATCCTTCCTTCTGCCAGCACCAACATTGGTCTTTGTGACTCCCCGAGCTCCTTCATTCTGTCCTTGAGTTCTTTTTCTTCTCAGGCAGCCCATGTCTTGCAGGGTGGTGTTCGTTTATTTTTCTTTGCATAACCCAAGGAATCGTAAATCACGTCCAAGTCAGTTGTCACCACCAAAATGGGTTCTGACTCCAAATATAAAGATGACATCTGGTGTGGTCTTATATACTTTGGCTAGTTTTCCCCAAATTTCTGTCTTGGATACAGTTGCCCTTCCAGGGTAAAGAATGTCAATGATCACCTTTCCCCTGAAATAGTTGGTTGGTCAGAATTTCCTGATCCAGATAGTTATGGTGTCAGTTCATGATGGAGGTGATCCTCAGCCAGCCAAAAAAGAAAAGAGTGGAGTGATATTTCTAACAATGAGAAACCCCGGAGACCTAAGAGACGCAAGTGAGACTGTGGAGTTTCTTTTTTGTTTGTTTTAGGTTTCTTTGGCTGTGCCATGCAGCATGTAGGATCTCAGTTCCTCAACCAGGGACTGAATCTGCGCCCCTGTAGTGGACACACAGAGTCTTAACCACTGGACTGCCAGGAAAGTCTGAGGCTATGGATTTTCATGTGAGCACACTCTCTCATGCTCCAAAACTGCCCCATGTCAACAGGACAATTGAGGCCATCACTGCCAACCAGGTCTGTTCCCCAAAGATCTGCTATCTAGAGGAAAAGGCAACCCTTCCTCTTCTCTCATCCTCAGGCCCGCTTCCCTGTCTTCCCCCTCCAGCCCTTCCCACTTGCCAGGTGCCAGACCAGAGCCCAATGCGTACAACAATCCTACACCCCCATTTCATAGGTGAAGCCCAGAGAAGCCAGACGACTTGCCCAAATCACATTGCCAATGGCAGAGCTGAGATCTGAAGCCATTCTATTTGGAACCAAATCCAGTGTGCCTTCATTCTAGCCTAGATGTCACCATCTCCCCAGAAGGGGCTTGGAGTGAAGTTTGACTAAGGTGGGCAATACTTGTAGTTCCCCAGATGACCACCAGATGGCTGTGAGAACTCACCTCCAGGTAAGACTTCTTTCTTTCCCTCCACCAATCCTGTGTGCCTAGACTCTGGAGGGAAGTGTGTGAGAGACACACAGACACAAGTCCCCTGTCCAAGCTCCAAGAATCTGGCCATCATCAGTGCACACATTCTTAGCACAGACCCATTCATTCAGCCAATATTCACTGACAGTTCCCCTGGGCTTGGGTTTGAGAAGGTACTACAGACAGAGATGCTGTGGCCGTAGCCCTGCATTTTCAACATTCAGTTACTATTTATTGAGTATTTACTATTTGCCAGGCACAGTTCTGGGCATGGAGAATGTAGCAATGAACAGATATCTCCGTCTTCATGGTGTTCCATTCTGATGGGGAAATGGACAATCTACAATAAACACTTAATATGATGTTAAGTAGGAAACACTTGAGGGTCTCACAGACCAGTGAGATAGGCAAACATGTACACAGTCACAACATGGTACAGCATGGTTATTTAATAAGCACCTGCTTAGCTTTTATGGGTGCAGGGAGTTAACTGTAGATGAAGATAAACAAGGTTTCTGCCTTCCTGGAGCTTATTTATAGACTAGGAAACAACTGAGTAATTAAGTACATAGCTGATACATGTTCTGAAGGGAAAAGGAGACATTGTGATGTAGAATAACCAGGAGATCTGTTTTTAGTAGGGAGGTCAGGGGCAAGTCAGTTGAAAAGAGAATAGAAGAGTTCCAAAGAGAGGGTACAGCAGGTGCAAATCTTAAAAGATGATGCTGTGAAAGTGCTGCACTTAATATGCCAGCAAATTTGGAAAACTCAGCAGTAGCCACAGGACTGGAAAAGGTCAGTTTTCATTCCAATCCCAAAGAAGAGCAATGCCAAAGAATGTTCAAACTACTGGACAATTGCATTCATCTCACACGCTAACAAAGTAATGCTCAAAATTCTCCAAGCCAGGCTTCAGCAATACATGAACCATGACCTTCCAACAAACTGTGGAAAATTCTTCAAGAGGTGAGGATACCAGACCACCTGACCTGCCTCCTGAGAAACCTATATGCAGATCAAGAAGCAATACTTAGAACCAGACATGAAACAACAGACTGGTTCCAAGTATGTCAAGGCTGTATATTATCACCCTGCTTATTTAACTTATCTGCAGAGCACATCACTCAGAATACCGGGTTGGATGAAGCACAAGCTGGAATCAACACTGGCGGGAGAAATATCAATAACCTCAGATATGCAGATGACACCACCCTTATGGCAGAAAGTGAAGGAGAACTAAAGAGCCTCTTGATGAAAGTAAAAGGGTGAAAAAGTTGGCTTAAAACTCAACATTCAAAAAACTAAGATCATGGCATTCAGTCCCATCACTCATGGCAAATAGGTAGGGAAACAATGGAAATAGTGATAGACTTTATTTTCTTGGACTCAAAAATCACTGCAGATGGTGACTGCAGCCATGAAATTAAAAGACGCTTGCTCCTTGGAAGAAAAGTTATGACGAACCTGGACATCATATTAAAAAGCAGAGACATTACTTTGCCAACAAATGTCCATCTAGTCAAAGCTATGGCTTTTTCCAGTAGTCATGTATGGATGTGAGAGTTGGACTATAAAAAAAAGCTGAGCGCTGAAGAATTGACACTTTTGAACTGTGGTGTTGGAGAAGACTCTTGAGAGTCCTTTGGACTGCAAGGAGATCCAACCAGTCCATCCTAAAGGGAATCAGTCATGAATATTCATTGGAAGGACTGATGCTGAAGCTGAAACTCCAATACTTTGGCCACCTTATGCGAAGAACTGACTCATTAGAAAAGACCCTGATGCTGGGAAAGATTGAGGGTGGGAGGAGAAGGGGACGACAAAGGATGAGATGGTTGGATGGTGTCGCTGACTTGATGGACATGAGTTTGAGCAAGCTCTGGGAGTTGGTGATGGACAGGGAAGCCTGGCATTGTGCAGTTCATGGGGTCGCAAAGAGTTGGACATGACTGAGTGACTGAACTGAACTGAAAGTCTTAGGAGGAAAGAGTTGATTGTTTGAGGGATAGAGAGGAAGCTAGTGTATCTGGACCAAAGAAGCAAAGGGGAGAGGTAGGAGTTGAGCTCAGAGAGGTGGGCAGGGGGAAGATCATGTAAGTCTTGGAAAGCGGTGAGATGGAAGTCATCGGTGAGCTTAAACATGGAATAATATGATTTGATTTACATTTTCAAAGGATTGCTCTGGCTGCTGAGTGGAGAACAGACTATGGCAAAAGCAGAAGCCCTACCAGGAGGCCACTGCAGCCATCAAAGCAAGAGATGGTGAGGCTCTAGGTGCAGGAGGGCAGATGGGTTGGGATCTACCAGCTGGGACGAGTGCCACGGCAGTTCAGCCTTGCTCCGTGATAGTCACCGAGGGCTTCCTGCAGGTGGTAGCCATTTAGTGTTGTCATGAAGGATCAGTTTGCCAGACACATGTAGTCAGGAGAGGAGGAGGACCCTCCAAGAGAGAGAACCACTACCAGATGAAGGCAAGGAGGTACAAAAGAAGATGCATACTGGGGGGAAGGCCATTCTATTTTCTCAGAGGGTAAGATGTTGGGGTGAGCACAAGACTTCTGAGGCTTCTGGAGACAGGAATCAAAGGGCTATGAAAGCCCTTGAGTTGAAATTTGTCTCATGGTCAAATCCACGTTTTCAGGACAGCTCTGCACTATGAGAGGTGAGCTGGGGAGAGGTCTGCAGACTGAGAGAAAGTATGAGACCAGCAAAAGAAAGCTGAGGGAACAGGACCCAAGAGCAGGATCTGCAGGACTTTAGTCTGGGGGCAAGACAGAGGGAGGGGGTGAGGATGAGACCAGGGTTTCCAATCAGGTGCCTGGTGGGATGGAAGGAGCCTCCCTGAGGGGAAAAGAGGGACTGGGCAGTTTCCAGGGCCTGAGGCACAAACTCAGTGGAGGTGCCCTGGAAGCAGATGAACCCTCAGGAGGCACAGTGGACGGCAGAGTAGCCTCTGGCCTCACTAGATCCCAGTCCACATCCTGACCCCCTTCATTGTAACTGTGTGCCCCTGGGAAAATGATTTTACCAGAGGCCTGCAAATCGGAGATAACAAAACCCGTGTTTAGAGGGTAGTTGTGGACATCAGAAAAGACCTGATAAGTTAAGCCGCTTAGTAGAATGTACGTTCTGCTAGTAGTGAGTCGTTAATAGTTGCTTTGTTGCTGTTCAGTCCCTAAGTCATGTCCGACTCTTTGAGACCCCACAGACTATAGCCTGCCAGGCTCCTCTGTCCATGGGATTTATCCTGGCAGGAATACTGGAGTGGGTTGCCATTTCCCTCTCCAGGGGATCTTCCTGACCCAGGGATCGAACCCGCATCTCCTGCGTTGCAGGCAGATTCTTTACCACTGAACCACCTAAAGATATATTATTACAGGTGTGGCAGCTGGGGAGCGAGCATTGGGTTGGAGATAGAGATGTGGTACTTGTTCACTGAGATGACCCAGGAGAGGAGAGGAATAGGGCTCAGGACTGAACTGGGCCACCAGCGATGAAGAGGGAGAAAGAGGAAAAGGAGAAGTAGAGAAGGGGGAGGGGAGGGGAGGGGAGAGATGGGGAGGGGAAAGGGAGAGTGGAGGATGGGGCGGAGTGGAAGAGGAGCTGTCTTCTAAGGGACCTGAGAAGGGGCTTCGGAGGGAGAAAAGCCCGAAGAGGCAGAGAGGAAGGTTGCGGAAAGACCACTGATCCCAGTACCAATGAGATGGCTGGTTTGGCCAAAGTATGTGGTGGGTCAGAGATAGACGCAGTGTATTGAGGGGCAAAAGAGAAGAGGGTGCAACAGGTGAAGCGATACAGGCTGCCAGAGTCTGAGGGCCTATTCTTGCCTCCTGGTTGGAGGATGAACTCTACAGAAGCTCAGAAATCAGGAAAGTGACCTCCCTTCAAATCTAGATTTTGCCACTAACTCTGTGACCTCTGACTCAGTTCAGTTCAGTCGCTCAGTTGTGTCTGGCTCTTTGTGACCCCATGAACTGCAGCACACCAGGCTCCCTGTCCATCACCAACCCCTGGAGCTTACTCAAACGCATGTCTATCAAGTCGGTGATGCCATCCAGCCATCTAATCCTCTGTCAGCCCCTTCTCCTCCCACCCTCAGTCTTTCCCAGCATCAGGGTCTTTTCCAAAGAGTCAGTTCTTCCCATCGGGTGGCCAAAGTGTTGGAGTTTCGGCTTCAGCAACAGTCCTCCCAATGACTATTCAGGATTGATTTCCTTTAGGATGGACTGGTTGGATCTTCTTGCAGTCCAAAGGACTCTCAAGAGTCTTATCCAACACCACAGTTCAAAAGCATCAATTCTTCGGTGCTCAGCTTTCTTTATAGTCCAACTCTCATGACTACTGGAAAAAGCCATAGCTTTGACTAGATGGACCTTTGTTGGCAAAGTAATGTCTCTGCTTTTTAATATGCTGTCCAGGTTGGTCATAACTTTTCTTCCAAGGATCAAGCGTCTTAATTTCATGGCTGCAGTCACCATCTGCAGTGATTTTGGAGCCCCCCAAAAATAGTCTGCAACTGTTTCCATTGTTTCTCCATCTATTTGTCATGAAGTGATGGGACCAGATGCCATGATCTTAGTTTTCTGAATGTTGAGCTTTAAGCCAACTTTTTCACTCTCCTCTTTCACTTTCATCAAGAGGCTCTTTAGTTCTTCACTTTCTGCCATAAGGGTGGTGTCATTTGCATATCTGAGGTTATGGATATTTCTCCCATCAATCTGGATTCCAGCTTGTGCTTCATCCAGTCCAGCACTTCTCATGATGTGCTCTGCATATAAGTTAAATAAGCAGGGTGACAATATTCAGCCTTGACATACTCCTTTCTCGATTTGGAACCAGTCTGTTGTTCCATGTCCGGTTCTAACTGTTGCTTCTTGACCTGCATACAGATTTCTCAAGAGGCAGGTCAGGTGGTCTGGTATCCCCATCTCTTGAAAAACTTTCCACAGTTTGTTGTGATCCACACAAAGGCTTTGGCGTAGTCAATAAAGCAGAAGTAGATGCTTTTCTGGAACTCTCTTGCTTTTTCGATGATCCAGTGGATGTTGGCAATTTGATCTCTGGTTCCTCTGCCTTTTCTAAATCCAGCTTGAACATCTGGAAGTTCACAGTTCACGTACTGCTGAAGCCTGGCTTGGAGAATTTTGACCTCTGACTAATCACACACCTTTTCTGAGCCTCAGTTTCCTCACCTGTGAAGTAGGGATAATAACGCAACAGTGTTCATGATCCTGCGAGGGAAGGGGACATCCAGGGACCTGGCCTGCTACTGTGAACAGTTCTGGACTCCACCCTTTTTGCCAGAGCCCCACCCCAGACCCCCAAATCCAACAGTTCTGGACTCCACCCTTTTTGCCAGAGCCCCACCCCAGACCCCCAAATCCCGCCCCACCAGACCGCGCCCACAAACCACGCCCCATCGGACACCGCCCCAGACAACAAAGCCCCGCCCTCCCGGTCACGTCACCAGCCCCGCCCTGTTTGGGCCGCGCCCACCTGGCCTTGCCCAGGTTGCCCTGGTCTCGCTCCCCACACCCGGGCGAAGCTGAGTCCAGAGGGGCCACGCCACACCCGCTCTCCACCGACCCCGACCCCCCCCACCCCAGGCCCCGCTTCCGAGCCCATGGCCGCGCCGGGACCCCGCGCCTTACGGGCTGCGCTGTGTGGCGGCTGCTGCTGCCTCCTCCTGTGTGCCCAGCTTGCGGTGGCTGGTAACGCATTTCCTTCACCCAACTGCTTGCCAGGAGCAGTCTGGGTTTAGGGGGAGCGGGAGGGGACTTTTCACTGGTGTGCGGGGCTCCTGGGCTGGGTAGACGGGGGCTCCGACTGTCTGTGGAGCCATATATATAGGCTCCGGGTGTGAGGCAACTTCAGGTGTAGGGAAGTGAAGCGGCCCCACGTGAATGGGATGGGGGTGGCTCCTGATATATGCAAAGGGAGGCTGTTCTGGTGAATGTCAGGGAGCTTCTAGGTGTGTGTGCCCATGTGTTTGTGGAAACTCCAGGCGTGCGGTGAGGCTTAGGGGATCCAGGTGAGTGTATGTGTGCAGGGGGGTGAGATCCGTGGTAGTGGGGAAGGGGAACGGTAGCTTGGGTTCCAAGTGTTGCATCCACCTCACGCCCAGGTAAAGGTGCTCGAGGTTTTGGGCGGGGAGCTCTGCTCCGCCTGAACATCTGGCCAGCTGTCCGAGGGGCCTGCAAACAGCTGAAGCCCTGTGAGCATTGTGTGGAGGGGAACCGAGCGCACAACCTCTCCGGCTGTGTGTGGGAGCAGTGTCGGCCGGAGGAGCCAGGTATGGAGTTAGGCCCTCCCCAAGGTTAGTGCCCCCAGTTCTGAACACCAGAGCTTTGGCCCCGCTCCCTAAACTGCTTCCCTGCTCCTTCTCCCACCAGGACACTGCGTGGCCCAAGGGGAGGTGGTCAAGGAAGGCTGCTCCATCTACAACCGCTCAGAGTCATGTCCAGGTAAGGGGGCTCCCGCTGGCCTAAGTCACGTTGGGGGCCGGGGGCCGAGGTGTCCTCAGCCAGAGCCCGCCTCCAGCAGGGAATCAGCCTCTCCCAGAGAGGAGGCTGTGCCCACGAGCACCTGGGTCCAGTGTCAGTTCTGCCTTCAGCTCACTGAGAAGTCTCTTCCCCTCTCTGGCCCGTTTCCTCCTCTGAAAATTGGTGCAGCTAGAGGATCTAGGACAAGCGTGTAGAGGGAATGGAGAAACTAGCTCTTCTATTTTAAACCACAGTTAGGACTTTGGAAGTTCAGAAGGGAGTGGGGGGAGGGCTTCCTGGAGGAGGCAGCATCACAGATGATGGTTAAAGGTAGAGATGGAAGAGAGAGGGCTCCGCTGGCGGAAGGAACTGTATGAACTAAGGCTTCGGAGTGTGCCAGGTGGGCCCAAGATGGGGTCTTGATGGGAAGTGGCAGGGGTCTGGTTTAATCATGGATTCCCTGTCTCTCCAGCTGTGCACCACCACCCAACTCATGAACCGAAGATAGTCACAACAGGTAGGTCCTATCTGGGGCATTGGAAGGACAAGAGATGCAGGGGAAAACAGCTGGGCTCAGGCACTGACATGCTCTGTGACCTCAATCCTGTGACTTCTCCCTCTGAGCCTGTTTCCAATATCTGTAAAATGGGTTGAAGAATACCTCACAAAGTGAGGATTTTATGAGAGGGTGTATAGCACCTGGTTCCAATGTATAGAAGGTGATCAAGAAATGATGGTTCCCATCCCTTCTCTCTGACCCCGGTTCTGAGAACTCAGGATGGCCCCCTCAGGACCTGCTTTGGTGCTGAGGGTGTGTGTCAGGTTGCCAAGAAGATGTCCTCAATGACTGCCTACTGCAACCTCCAGGCCCAGAGAGGGTCACAAAGCAGGGTCCCAGCCAAAAAGAGGCAAGAACCCCACCCTTTGGTTCCCACTGCCCCTCAGGGTCTGGAGGTCAGCAGGCTTGGCAAGGATGGCTGAAGAGGCTCTTGGTTAATTAAAGCCAGAAACATGATCTCAGGGGCTGAATTATTGATGGCTCCTCCTCCAGCTTGAGCCCAGCTGGGTCTTGTGCAGCTCATTTCTTCCTCCTCCTGCTCCTCTTTCCCCAGTCCCCTTCTCTGGGGCTCCATGAGCTGCTGCTGGGACCACCCTTCACATTCTCAGATTCCCCTTCTGCAAGCTACACCCTCTGGGAGGTGGATCCAGCACCCACCTGGGCCCCTCTCACTGCCCTAGAATGCTCTTCTACCACCAGCCCTGCCCTGCTCTGGGCACCTGGCCCAGGGCCTGAAATCAAATCCCTGGTGGGAGTGGATGGCTAACATGGCACAACTGGGAGCCACCTAGATGTCCTGGCAACCGTGGGCCCTGAGGCGGGGGTGGGGGAAAGGGTCAGGGGATGCCGTGTAAGTCTGGCTCTGCATTAACGGAGAGGTGACTGTCAGGCCTGGCACTCAGAGCCTGGTTAGTCCCTCCGACACATGTCACCGAGTCTTCATTTATCCCCTTGGTCGGGTGTGGGCCGCCACGTCTTCCTCTCCTCCTTACCTTTTTCTGGACCCCGGGTGACTCCAGGGTCTCGGGACTTGGGAGTCCTGAAAGGAGACCACAGCATCTGCACCTGGGTTTCAAACCTCAAGACCCAAGGTGGAGAGGGACTCTGAGCTGAAAGGGGTGTGGACGCACAAGTTCTGGATCCATTGTCACCCTATGGGGCGCTGGTGGAAGAGGGAGGCAGGCAGGGAGCTCACTTACCATCTGGGGCCTGCAGTCAGGAAGCTCAGAGAGGGTGTGAGAGGCATCAAGCCACAGAGCAACTTGGGAGCGGAGCCAGGGCCATGTGCTTCCAGGCACTTTCCAGCCACCCGTAAAATCTGGGTGGAATGTCTGAGCCTGCTGCCCAAGGCTCCCCTAGTGAGGACTGGGGGCCTCCAGATGACCTGTGCCGGGTTTTGGGGTGGGGCCGGGCCCCTGGCCTACAGTGGCCTGCTGTGGCCTCCACCCTGCAGAGAGCCCCTCGGTCCCTGAGGCCCACAGCCCCAGTTTTGACGGGGCCAGCTTCATCGGTGGCGTGGTGATGGTGCTGAGTCTGCAGGCGGTGGCCTTCTTCGTCTTGCGCTTCCTCAAGGCCAAGGAGAGCACCTACCAGACGCTGTGAGTACCTGGCCCGCTGAGCCCCTGCACCTGCTTCCCCGCAGTCCCCCTGGTGGCCCTCGGTGCCCGTTTGCCCGCTCCTCCATGGGGCAGCCTCAGGGGCCCTGAGGCCCTCCCAGCCTCCTCCATGTAGGCCGCACCTCGTCTCCCCACATCCAGTTGTGGGGTTCTCTTGGCTGGGTGTTGGCCCGTGTGGGACTCGGCCTGGGCCCAGCGTCTGAGAGCCCAGCTGAGGCCCCCTGTCTCTGTCCCCCATGCTGCCAGCAGGGAGGAGAACCAGTAGGTGACTGCCCAGGCCACCTCCGGCCTGCAGCTCTGTGGCCGGGGGCAGGAGCCCGGGCCACGTGTGCGGTTTGGTTTTCCTCTGAGAAGGGGAGCTGCTCTGGCCCCCATGTGTGCTGTGGGGTGGATCGCTGCAACCTCCATTAAAGTGTTTGCTCTTCTGCCCACTGCCTGCTCTCTGTGGGGTGCGGGGGGCGGGGGGGGGGGGTCCTCAGCCCGGCTGAGGTGGGGCCACCACCCTGAGTGCCTTGTCTGTCTGGCCTCTGCAGAATCTGACCCCCTTCAGGCCTGGATTCCACGCTCAGGGGAAAGAGAATGAAGAGGCAGCCCCCTCTTGGCCCCCTTGAGGGCACTTGGGGTGGGAAAAACTTTGGTCACCAAATTGTGGCCCCTCTGGACACTGAGCTGACTCAGGGCCCCATAGCTGACATCCCTTCCTGTCCTGGGCCCCTGGTTCATGCAGATGAGAGCATCCTTCAACATCCTTCAACCACCTTCTGTCTCATCCATCATCCCTACAGGCCCCCGCCTGGTACTCGGTCTGGGCCTGCCTCTTCCCATCAACCCGGCTTGGACACTGCCCCCCAATAAAGGAGCTCTTTCCAGCACTGTGCTTTATGTCTCATGTCTTGGGCTGTGTGTGGATTGGATGGGGTGGGGGGTATGGCCCACTGCCCTGTCCTTCATGGAAATTCAGCCTTAAATTGACACTGTCACCTTTTAAGTATTTTTATTTGCAGGAATTCCCTGGCAGTCCCGTGGTTAAGACTTGGTGCTTTCACTGCCGGGGCCTGGGTTCAATCCCAGGTCGGGAAACTAAGATTCCCGCCAGCTGCACAGCAAGGCCAAAACAATATTTTTTGCTGTTATGTGTTTAGTCCCCGCCTCCACTGCGCTATAAAGAAGGGTGCAGAGACTTGGAAAGGGAAGCACACCTGCTTAAGATCACACAGAATGGAATGGGGCAGGGCTGGGCATTTAATCCAGGTTTTTCTGACTCTAGAATGAGCAGAACTTCAGAACTCCTCTGCAGAGGCATCTCCAGTTTCTTTTGGCTCCTAAAGTTGGATCTCTGCCCTTCTGCCAAGGTGGAGGTACCCCCGGGGACCCTCCCCAGGGTACTTCTGGCCTTCCTTGAGCAGGCCCTCCTAGAAAGCTCCACCCATGCCCACCTCCCTCTCTTCACCGCCCCCCCAACCCTGGGCCCAGAAGTCTTCTCTAATAACATCTCCCACCCATGGGGCACTTGCTGGAAACCGGCTGAGAGTCTGGCATCAGTGTCTGATTTAGTCCCATGATTGTCCTAGAAAGCTGAGAGGCCGTAGAGGGTCACGGGCAAGAGTTTAGCCTGTGGAACTCGACTGCTTTGTGTGACTGGGAGTTAATGGAGCAGCTCTGGGCGTCGGCTTCCTCGTCTGTAAAGTCCAGTAACAGCTGTTCCATCCCAGCGGGATGTAGGGCAGGCTCAGAGCAGGGGCATGTGCCCCGTCTGCTTCACTCCTGGGTACCCACTCACCCCTCCAGCTGTCCAAACGCTTGCATCTCTTCCTCCCCTTGAGGCCTCCTCTCCTTGCAGGATCTCTGGCTGCAGCTGGAAAGGCTTTAGGGCCTCTGGGCTCCACAGGGAGTTCCAGCTACTCCTTGGCCTCACAGAGGGCTCACCTGCCTACCCATCAATGCCAAACACAGTCCACCCCCTCATGCCCCCCCCGACACTCACTTCTATCAACACCCCCCCTCCTCTCAGACATCAGCCTCCCCTCCAAGTCCCTGCATCTGTGTCATGTGACCCTTTCTCTCCTTCAAGCCTCTGTACACACGCCATTTCTCCTGCCTGGGTCGCCCTCCCCTGGCTGGAATGATGTCCATCCCTGTCCCCCGCCCTGGGCCAAGGGAGAAATGCCGCCCCCCTCCTCCTGGTTTTTCACCCAGTTAAGGACATTTCTCTACTGGATGTTTTCATTTTCAAATGTAGTAAATGCCTGTAAAGAACAAAAGGACTACACAGATGTTTATGTATGTAAAGAACGAGAATCACTCTCCCCAGAGTCCTACTCCCCAGAAATAACTATGCTTAACAGGATGGGTCAGACCTTTTTCTGTGAATTTACAACATACATACCTACACACACTTAGTTTTGTTTTTTTTTTTTTTTTAATACAAAATGGGGGACTTCTCTGGCAGTGCAGTGGTTAAGAATCTGCCTGCCAATGCAGGGCATGCGGGTTCGATCCCTGGTCCAAGAAGATTCTACCATCCTCGGAGCAATTAAGCCCGTGTGCCACAACTACTGAAACCCACATGCCTAGAGCCTGTGCTCAGCAGTAAGAAAAACCACTGCAATGAGAGACCCACGCACGGCAACAAAGAGTAGCCCATGCTCACCGCAACTAAAGATGGCACAAGGCAACGAAGATCCAGCGCAGCCAAAAATAAATTATTAAAAAAAAAAAATGAAGTGGGAGCATGCTTTACATTTTATTCTGCAACTTTGCCCCTTTCATTAGAGATCAGATTTGCCCCATGACTTATTCAGATGGTGATGGTTGATTTGCCTGCATCCTATCAAAGTCCAACTGGGTTATTTCCATTTTATCATAATCAGCATCATGATAAACGGGCTTGTCTTCAGATCTTGGCAGACCTGCGGCAGAGCATGTGTGCTGGGGACATATTCCTAGAACTGGAATTGGAGCATCCGTCCTGTCTTGCAAGCTTGCCCTCCACCTTCCTTGACCCTCTCATGAACCTGGTCTTCTCCATCCCCACAAGAACTGGGCCTGGTATGGAGAAGGCCCTCAGAGAGGGTTTGATGAGTGAATGAATGAGTGAATGAATGACCAACGTTTTCCTCTCCTCTGTCACCAGAGGTCCCTCTCCAGCTCAGACCTCACCCCTCAGTCTGGTCCAAAGCTGCTGCCTCTTCACTGGCCTCCACGCCTGCCCATGTGAGGGCCTGCCCATGTGATGGCCTATATCAGCAGCTGTTTCCTAGCCTCTGCCAAAGGCTCCTCAGGGGACCTGAGGGTGGGCATGAAGTCACCTTGCTAAGGGTGTTTCTACCTGCTTGGGGGCATCGTTAGGGGCTTGGGCAAAATCTCTGGCAGAGAGAACACAAATCATGTTCTGTCTCTGAGCCCGTTTTTCCTTGTTTATTCATTTATTTAACAAACATTAATGGAACACCTGCTATGTACCAGCCTATAACCCAGTTTCAATAATATTAATAACAACCATCAGTGGGACTGTGTAAGGATGGCAGACCATTTACAAATAGCACCCAGCACGACTTGTGGGGGGGTGGGCAGCAGGTGCCCAACAGATGGTATCAGTGGTCATTCCTGATACAGTGACAAGGATCAGGGAAGAATTCCTAGTGGAGATGACATGAGGGCTGAACCTTCATGCACAGGAGGAGCTTCACAGGGAGAGATGAGGAGGGGGTTCCAGATGAGCTAAGGTACAAAGGTAGAAAGACCCCATGTAAATCCAGAAGTCTGAAGAGATGGCTGCAGAGTCTTGGTGGCTAGGATCAGAAGTTGGACTCCATCCTGGTTGGACTGGGCAGGAATAATGCCCATTCTCTCCAAAGGTGAAGGAGGAAAAGCCCCCATCTTCTGCTGGTTCCAGCCTGGGTGGGGTGTCCCTGGGGAAAGACAATGGAGGAAGTCTTGCTTCGTGTCTTCCCACCAGCCTTGCATCTTTTCTCAGGGCCCCAGCAAATGGGCCCACTGTGGACCCCATTTTCCCTTTTCCTCCTCTTGTTTGGGGAGCCTGCCTGTCTGAGGAGCCAGGACAACCCCAGCTGCCCAGGTAGGGGCCCAGGGTACCCTCCCCACTCACCCATTCACCCTCCCGTCCTCATCCTCTCCCTAGGTATCCTTCTCCCACCCAGGTTCACTAGCCTCAAGGAGCAGGGTGGGAGTTTGATAATCTGGGCTCTCCACACACACACACACACGAAGCGTGCAAATAGATGCAAATGATGAAAAACCTGACAGCTAGAATCGGGGGGATGGAAAGAAAAGTGCAGAGGGGTCTGGAAGAGACATGCCCACTACCTCCATGCCCCATCCTGTGCCCACCTGGCCCCATGTCTCCCTGCAGAACCCAGGAAACTGGAAGCCAGTAAAGTTGTCCTCTTGTCCAGTTGTCCTGGAGCCCCAGGAAGTCCTGGGGAGAAGGGAGCACCAGGTCCTCAAGGTAAGAGATGGGGAGGCAGCAATTAGCATGGTCTGTGCTAAGACACCATGGCAAAGGGGCAAGGAACCTACTGTGTGCCAGGCTCCAGGCTGGATGCCCAGCATCCTAAGATTGACCCTGTGAGGTAGGTAGTACCATCCCCATCTCACTGGGCTGGGGAGAGGGGGAAGGGAGGCTCAGAGAGGATCAGTCATTCGCCCACACTCACAGAGCCGGGAGCCAGGAAAGGCTGCAGCTGGGATCTGACTTCATTGCTTCCTGGCCCCTGACATGCGGCAGGGTGTAAGGCATCTCTCTGTTTCTGGGATGTCAGGGCAACCTGGACCACTGGGCACGATGGGTCCCAAGGGCGAGCCTGGGGAGTGTGTGGAGCCGGAGGGCTCCTCTTTCTTGGCTCTGTCCCTGGACCAGAGAGGGGGCTGCTTGACTGCTGCTCAGGAATTGGCTGTGACTGATCTCCTGTAGAGCGGGTGGGAAGCTTGTGGCACTAGTGGTTAAGAACCTGTCTTCCACTGCAGGAGACAGATGCACGTTCGATCCCTGGATTGGGAAGATTCCCCTGGAGGAGGACGTGGCAACCCCCTCCAGTATTCTTGCCTGGAGAATCCCATGGACAGAAGAGCCTGGCAGGCTACAGTCCACAGGGTCGCAAAGAGTCAGACACCACTCAAGTGACTTAGCACTCATGCAGTGGGGGTGGAAAGCTGGGAGGAGTGGGGAGAATCAGGAGAAGGGCCTGGGCACCCTCCCCTCTGGTGGTTCAAGAGCCTTCCCTTGGGGGTACTCAGTGCCAACGCTCATCTTTCCTTGGGGCCGGAGATTTAGCGAACTTGCTGTGGGGCCAGGAGGGTTGAGGCCACCCTCGCTGGACCCCAGGCACCTAGAATCAGATGGCGCTGGGGTGTTGGAGGGTCAGCAGGTGAGGCCCAGCCCATCCCAGAGCCCCTCTTCAGGGGTCCAAAGGAATTAAGAGGACTCCTGGAGTCCAACACATGGCCTGTTCCATTGCCTGTGGGCTGGGGCTTCGGAAATAACTTGGGGGCCATCAGCTCATCTGCCCTCCCCTAGGCCCCGGGAGCTGCCAGGAGCTGCTGAGCTGGAGTACCACTTTGAGCGACTAGTGCCATCTGTGCCTACCTGAGGGCTGAGCCCTCCCAGTCTTTTGTGACAGTTCAGTTCAGTCACCCAGTCGTGGCTGACTCTTTGCAACCCCACGGACGCAGCACACCTGGCCTCCCTGTCCATCACCAACTCCCCGAGTTTACTCAAACTCATGTCCACTGAATCAGTGTTGCCATCCAACCATCTCATCCTCTTTTGCCCCCTTCTCCTCCCACCTTCAATCTTTCCCAGCATCAGGGTCTTGTCAAATGAGTCAGTTCTTTATATCAGGTGGCCAAAGTATGGGAGTTTCAACTTCAGCAGCAGTCCTTCAAATGAATATTCAGGACTGATTTTCTTTAGGATGGACTGGTTGAATCTCCTGGCAGTCCAAGTGACTCTCAAGAGTCTTCTCCAACACCACAGTTTAAAAGCATCAGTTCTTCAGCTCTCAGCTTTCTTTAAAGTCCAACTCTCACATCCATACATGACTACTGGAAAAACCATAGCTTTGACTAGACGGATCTTTGTTGGCAAAGTAATGTCTCTGCTTTTTAATATGCTGTCTAGGTTGGTCATAGCTTTTCTTCCTTGTTGGCAAACTAATGTCTCTGCTTTTTAATATGCTGTCTAGGTTGGTCATAGCTTTCCTTCCAAGGAGCAAGCGTCTTTTAATTTCGTCTTTTGTGACAAGGACACCGCAGGTGGTGGCTGGCTGGTGAAGCAATGTCAGGGAGAGAAAGGACTCCAAGTCAGAGCCAGTGGGCACTTCTTCCCCTTGGCCCCTAGGGGGAGCCAGAGCCCACTGGAGCCAGGACATCCCTTCGCTGATTTACTAACAAATGCTTACTGAGCTCCCAGAGCGCCTGTAGAAGTCTGAGAAGGCTTCACAGAGGAGATGCCATTTGAAAGGGCCCTGAAGGCTGTGTAGAAGTTCTCAAGCTAGGTGAGGTGCAGAAGGGCATTGCAGGTAGAGGGAAAGACGTGTGGGGAGGCCGGAGACCACGAGGGGGTGGGGGAGACCGTATGAATGAACTGAGAGCAGGTGGAGTGCTTGGTTGAGGTCTACAGGTGTGAGTCAGGCATGGATGAGGGCCCAGTCTGCAAAGACCCGTTCACAAAGGGCACTGAATGACTGACTCAGTGGGGAGTGGGGAGCCCTGGAAGAGTTTCAAACAGAGGAGGGACCAGGTCAGACATGTTTTAGAAAGAAGACTCAGGCTACACTGTGGAGGATGCATCGGATGGGGACAAGAGTGCAGGTAGGGACACAGTTTAGGACGACTGCAGGGGTCCGGGCAGGAGAAGAGGGTGGGCAGGGGCAGGAACGGAGGTAGAGGCTCTTAGACTGAAAGATATTTAAGCGAGAAACTCTACAGGACCTGGGGACTGCTTGGCTTGAAGAGGAAACTGGGGCTGAATGGACCTCTGCTCTAATACCTTGGTTCTTATCATAGTAAATGAAAGCAGGGTTATTTTGAATCTGACCCCCAACTGGACTGACCATTTCCTGAAGGCAGGGACAACGTTTCTACTATTTCAGTCCATCCAGGGACTGCGGTGTGAAATTGAGAGTCAGTAAAAGTTAATAAGGGGGTGTAGGGTTGATCGGTATATTCACAGGCAAGGCTCACTTGGACTCACACTTTATCAACAAGCCCCCAAACCAAAGAGGGGGCACCTGTCCACCTACCCCTCGCAGTGCCTCTGCCCCTTGCATCTCCTCATCCCAGGCTCGGCCTGGAGTGGACTGCCATCGTTACCTTCTCTGCCTCCCTAGGTGTTCCAGGGGTGATGGGATGGTTCTGTGGATTCCTTGGTCCTTCTACACAGCAGGTGTGGGGAGCCAGGAGTCTGAATTCTGGTGGGGGATGAGAATTTGCACGAGCTTACTCTCCAGGGTAGGTTTCTCAGTAGGGTCCTGGGAGTCTGAGGGGCCTTTCCCTGGCATTCTGACTTCCTAGCTGGGATCTGAGGATTTCTCCATCTCTGCCTCCCCGTCCCTTCCCCGAGGTACTCTAGAGCTGTGGGTGGAGCTGGAGAACTTTAGGCAACCACACCTTTGTTCCCTGTAGGTCCTTCCTCCTCCTAGTGGAGGCAGACAGACCATCACCAGCTGGTGCTGGACAGGTTCTCAAAGGGCAGGGCAGGTGAGCGAGCCTATGGTGGGGCCCTGAAGCAGTCCAAGAAGTCTAGGGAGGCTGGATGGAGCTTCCCCAGAGCTGCCATGGTCTCCACGAATGACCCAGGACACCTCCTTCCCCTGATGCGAGTCTGTTTCCTCACTGGAAAAATGGCAGTGATGAGACAGGGTGGTGCAGGAGTGAGCAAGTTGGGCTCTGGAGGCAATCGATCCTGAGTTTAAAATCCAGCTCTATCATTTACTAACTGTGTGACCTTGGGCAAGTCTCTTCTGGGTCAGAGCCTCAGTTTCCTCCCCTGTAGAATGGGTAAGGAGGCAGGGAGGGAGGATGTGAGAGCCAGCTGAGGCTCTGTTGAGTGTTATCATTATCTGCTTTGGAAGAGGAACCAAGAAAGGTTTTTTTTTTTTCTTTCAGAGAAACACCAACAGTCGAGAAGAAAGTTGAAAGAGGGAAGTGGTTATAAGGAGGTGCCTCAGCGGAGCCCCCTTTCCTGCCTCGGCGTCTGAGAAGTCCCTCCTAGCTCCCCCAGGCACAGTTGCTCAGGCTGCAGCTGGGAGCTGCGAGTAGACAAAGGAGCAAGAGGGAAGCGGAGATTCTGGGAGGGGACGAGGCAAAGGGAGGCGTCAGTGGCTTTGGAGCCACAGTCCTGAGCTCAAGTCCCACTGCCTCTGTGATTAGCTGCCTGGGCCAATGCCCTTGCTCCATGGCACTGCTGTTTTTCCCACAGAGCCTGCAAACACCCACCTTACAGTTGCTCTGAGGCTCCTGCGAGATCATCTCTTCAAGGGTGCCAGGCATGGTGCCAGCACCGAGGTGCCTCCCACCCTCTTCCTGCCAGGGGCCTCCCAGAGCTTCCAAGGCAGGAAACCCTTTCCCACCGACCATGATACAAGTGGGAGAAACTGCATGGTGACTATTCCCGGCGCCTGCTGGTACGGATCCTGCTATCAGACCAATCTCAACGGGCGCTACTTGATGTTCAAAGCCCCTGTCCATAATTATGGCATCGACTGGGCCTCACGCCAAGGCGTGGGCCATCCTTACCACAGGGATTAAATGGTGCTTCGCTAGGGCACCCTGGTAGCCAGCACCCTTATCTCTATCACACAGCTTCCGGACTCTCGGTTGTTGTTCAATTGCTCAGTTGTGTTCGACTCTTCATGACCCCATGGACTGCAGCATGTCAGGCTTCCCTGACTTTCACTGTCTCCCAGAGTTTGCTCAAACTCATGCCCATTGAGTCAATGATGCCATCCAACCATCTCATCCCTGCTCCTCTTACTTTTTATTAAAAAATAAAATCATTTTTACTCTTTCCCAACTGGCAGACCTCTTCCAGTTATTGGGAAAAACTCAAGAGGGCAGAGCAGGGACACAGGTTTCAGTTCCATTCAAGGAAGATCTTCTTTCCAGTCAGGAAGATTGCCAAGTTGACCTCAAAAGGTAGTGAGGCTTCCGTCCCTAGAGGTTTGCAAGTCGAGGCCAGAGGAGCATGGACTAGCAGACTTGGAAGAATTCAAGCATCCACTGACAATATTCTTGGGTTCCCTGGGTCCTACAAGTGGATGGTTTCATGGTGGGAACTGCACCGGCATCTCACCTTGTTACCCCCTGCCTGTCCCTTCAAAGTTGTCTGTTTTCCAGGCTCTGTTGTAAGTCACATTTTCATCCTCTGCTACTTCCTGTCTGTTCCATTAGGGGTTAGTTCGAACTCAGTCAAAACAAGGCAGGCACACTTTTCTCCCATGGGGCAACAGGGCAGTGAAACAGCAGTTCCTGAGCTGGCATTTAAGCAGTTAGATAATTTGCCAGAGTCACATTCAAGAAAGTGTTAGAACAATAGTTAAGAGTATGATCTCTGAGTCTGACAGGGAGTCCTGGGCTTGCATTCTGCTTTGTTATGTAGCTGAGTGATCTTGGATAAGTTACTCAATCTCAGAGTTCCCAGTTCCTGATTTCAGAGTCCACTGAAGTTTATGCCAGGCTGTGGCCTCACTAATGCCCACTAGAAGGTTAGGGATTCTTGGGCATTGGAGCTGGGAAGCCATTGTAACCCAAGGGCTGGGGTTCCTGGGGTTCTCCAGGGAGATGGAGAAACACTTGCATGAAGATTCTTCTCAGGTTTCATGGTCATGTCCTGGGTGGAGGTCAGGGGTCAGAAGGGCTCCAAAGCAGATTGAGTTCCCGGGAAAGCAGCCCCCTGGGAAAAAAGGCGAAGGACCCAGCTCTGATGCCAAGTCCCATGCTACTGACAGGCTGGGGATCAGGCTTCCCCAGTCCAGTCCCTCCCAGCCTGCCCACCAAGGACGCTAAGGGACGGGCTCTCTCCGCCGTGTTTGTTCTACACACCCTGACATCTCTGAAGATCCCTTCTTCCAAAAGATCCCCGCAGGGCAGGGCCTGCAATGCACTTGGGTCTTAGCTCTGGCCTGGGCACCCATCTTACGAGTGCCTGCTCTGAGGAGTCCACAGTGGTTGGCTGCCCAGGGGCAGAGGCTGTTCCGGAAGCGGTCTGTCTCAGAGGTTCTGGCGGGAGAGGAGGGAGGGAAGAGGCCGTGTCCCAGGCCGCTAGGGAGCGGTGCTGCCCCAAGGCTGAGGGTGGAGCTTTCCCGGTCGGCCGGGAAAGGGCTGGGCCCGGCCTACATGTGGGGGCAGGAGACAGCGACGGCCGACGTTCCGCGGCGGATCCTGGGTGGTGGGTACTGCTGGCCCGATGCCTGGGGCCTTCCACGTGACTCTGAACTGCGGATCACTGGATACCCAAGATTCCCAGGACCCAATCCCCGAAGTCAGATCTTCAGGACCTTGCAAGTCAGAGTCCGGATTTTCGCCCTGCACACCAGATTCCCAAACGGGACCTCTGGCCAGACTCCTGACCTCCAGATCCCGCAGGAAATTCTCGATCCCAGAATCTGTTGTTCTCTGCTCCCGTCCCGCCCCGGGTGCCCAAAGCCCGGCGCCCAACACCCGAGCGCCCCCGCATGGCGGGGCCGAGCCCGCGGTCCGGAGCCCTGGAGCGCGCCGGCAGCTGCTGGCAGGACCCGCTGGCCGAGGCGCTGAGCCGGGGCAGGCCGCTCGCGGCGTCCCCGGGTCGGGGCTGTGCGCGAAGCCGGCCGCTCAGCGTGGTCTACGTGCTGACCCGGGAGCCGCTGCCTGAGGTAGAACCCGAGACGGGAGCCGAGGCGGAGCCGCTGCCTCTGCGCTGCCTGCGTGAGGCCTGCGCGCAGCTCCCCGGACCGCGGCCGCGACCTCAGTTGCGCAGCCTGCCTTTTGGAACCCTGGCGCTGGGAGACACCGCAGCGCTCGATTCGTTCTACAACGCGGGTGAGCGCGCCCGGGGGGCGGGGCGCTGGGTGGAGCTTAGAGTCTGGGGGCGGGGCCGAGGCTGGGCTCAGCGACTCCCGGGGGCTCAGCGACCCCGAGGTGCGGAGTCGTGGGGGCACAAAGTGAACTAAAGCAGAGGGGCTCGAGGAGGGATCCGCAATAAAAGCGGAGTTTAGGGGGTCTGGAGCGCGGCCAGACTCGGGCAGGGACTTCACGGATCCAGGTCTGGCTCGGGGTTCAGGCTGGGAGCTTAGAAACTCTGGAGTTGGCACCGTGCCTAGGGAGTGGGGCTAGAATTAGGGAGTGGCTGGGAGCGGGGCAGGGTGTGGTATCTCAGGAATGGGATTGGAGAGCTCAGCCTCGGGATGATCTCTCACGGAGCTCATGACGGAGGATCCTGGAGGTGGAACTTGGACTGGGGGAAGGGGCCCCTAATACGTGGGGCTAGAGTTCAGGGGTCCTAGTATACTACTTCCGGGGATCCGGCTGCAAAGGGAAGCCAAGGGCACTAACGGCATTGGATTCTAGAGGCGGGAGCTTGGTTCATGAGGCCCCAGCAGTTCTGAGAAAAGTAAAAACTGTGGTGCTGGGGAAGACCGTCCCCTGGACGGCAAGGAGATCAAACAAGTCAATCCTAAAAGAAATCAACCTTATGGCGGGGGGGGGGGGGGTTGTCGCTGATGCTAATGCTGAAGCTGAAGCTCCAATACTTTGGCCACCTGATGCGAAGACCCGACTCATTTGGATAACACCCTGATGCTGGGAAAGATTGAAGGCAAAAGGAGAAGGCAGGCAGAGGATGAGATCGCTGGATAGCAACACTGACTCAATGGATATGAATTTGAGCAAACTCCAGGAGATAGAAAAGGACAAGGGGAGCCTGGCCGTTCTGCAGTTCACGGGGTCGCAAAGAGTCGGACCCGACGGAGCGACTGAACAAGTAGCTCCGGGAGAATCGGCAGAGCTGGGGCGGAACTGGACGCGGAGAAGGGTCGTCCGGGGGGGGGGGCCAGAAAGCGGGTATTCCCCAGGGGGATCACCCAACCCTTTCGCCAGCCCGGATGCCCCGCCCCGATACTAATTTGTTTATCCAGGAGTTCAGGAACCCTACTTGCAGGATGTTCATATAACTTCAGCCTAACAATGAAGGCTGGACTTCCCTGGTGGTCCGATGGTTAAGAATCTACCTGTAAGCGTGCTCAGTCCTTCAGTTGGTCCGACTTTTTGGGACCCCATGGACTGTAGCCCGCCAGGCCCCTTTGTCCACGAGATTTCCCAGGCAAGAATACTGGAGCAGGTTGCCATTTCCTACTCCAGGGGATCTTCCTGACCCAGGGATGGAATCCACGTCTCTGGCATCTCCTGCATTGGCAGGTGGATTCTTTACCACAGTGCTGCCACCTGGGAAACAGGGGACATGGGTTCAGTCCTTGGTCCGGGGAAGATTCCACCACCTGTGGCAGGGCAACTAAGCCTGTGTGCCACAACTACTGAGCCCGTGTCAGCCAAAAAACCCATCACAGCCAAAAATAAACAAACATAAAAATGAAGGCTGACTCGACCTTGAGATCACAAAGATACACACAGAATCATAGACAAACTCACAAATTGTGCATATCTTGCTTCACAAAGGCTGTCACAGACACTGTCCCACACAGAGATACAGACAGCAAGCGATACACTCACAGAGGCACAGTGTTGTACACACACAAGGCAAGTATGTATACGCATGTGTATACACCAGCACTGCTGGTGCGGCCCCTTTCAAGAGACTGTGTTGAGGATCCAGGGAATGGCACGTCCCTCTTTGTACAACTCTTGCCCCTCATATGGCCCAGAACAGGCTCCGGGCTGGTGCATAGCCTCCCCTTCTCTGTGCCCAGGGCCCGTAGGCTCTGCACAGTGGGATACAAGCAGTTGGGCCTGGGGAGCTCCACTCCTCTCTTTGCAATACTATAGATATAATTTCTGTACGACCCAGAGGGACCCTAAAAGGGGGAAACAGACCCAGAGCAAAACTGGACTCTGAGGAGTTACATGGGAACACAGGCCCAGCCAGGATGGATCCCCAGGCTTCTTCCCCACAAGCTGGGTTCGGGACTTAAGGTTTGGGGCTCGGGGCTCAGAGCTTGGGGCTCGGGGCTTCAGGTTCTGGGCGCCAGGCTTGGGGTTCGGGCTCAGAGCTCAGGGCCTCCACCTGTGTGTCCACAGACGTGGTGGTGCTTGAGGTGAGCAGCTCCCTGGCGCAGCCCTCCCTGTTCTACCACCTGGGTGTGAGGGAGAGCTTCAGCATGACCAACAACGTGCTCCTCTGCTCCCAGGCTGACCTCTCTGACCTGCAGGCCCTGCGGGTAGGTGGCCAAGGGGCTGGTGGGGACCAGCCCAGGGCGGGGGTAGCCCTACCCAGAGCGCCAGTATCTGAATGTCTGTCTCTTGCAGGAGGACATTTTCCAGAAGAACTCGGTGAGCCGAATCCACCCCTCCTCCGCGGTTTCCCTTTGACCTCCATTATAACCTCTGCTCTCCACCATCTTTCCTGGCCTCCTCATTCACCTCTGACCTCTCTAGTGCCCCCCTGACATCCACATGACCTTTGACTCCCTATTGCCTCCTTTCGTGAAGTGGGCCCCTTCCCCGTTATTCTAATCCCCACGGGGGTGGACCTCTGACCCCTCCACTGCCCCTCTCTAATCCAGTCCTGACCGATGACCTCCTCTGATTCCTGGCCTCTCTCCCACCCTAGGATTGCATTGGCAGCTACACGCTGATCCCCTACGTGGTGACAGCCACCGGTCGGGTGCTGTGTGGCGATGCAGGCCTCCTGAGGGGCCTGGCTGATGGGCTGCTCCAGGCTGGGGTGGGCACAGAGGCCCTGCTCACACCCCTGGTGGGTCGGCTGGCCCGCCTGCTGGAGGCCACACCCACAGACTCTTGGTAATGGGGGCCCCCCTCAGCGAGGGTGCCAGGAGGAGCTGATGAGGGCAAGGGGGGCCCTGGAGTTGAGGGGCAGGCCCTGCCATTCTCTCTCTCTCTCCTGCTCTGGGCGTTAGTGGCTACTTCCGGGAGACCATTCGGCAGGACATCCGGAGGGCGCGGGAGAGGTTCAGCGGGCAGCAGCTGCGGCAGGAGCTGGCTCGCCTGCAGCGGAGACTGGACAGCGTGGAGCTGCTGAGCCCCGACATCATCATGAACCTGCTGCTCTCCTACCGGGATGTGCAGGTGTGCAGGGCTCGAAGAGGCAGGCTGGCCAGTCCAACAAGCCCCAGGCCAGTTTCCGGACCCACTGGAGGCTCTGAATGATTTATCTGACATCTCCGAGCCTCAGTTTCCTGGGCCGTGTGGGAAGCTGGGCACCCACTGAGGTCTCCCTGTACAAAGTGGTGTCTGTACTTCCTGGGGGAAGTGTGCAGAGGATGGTGGGTGGGAAGGTGGGGTGTTGGGTGGGAGGGGACCCCCGCTCAAGGTTTGCCTCAGGGTCTGTGGGCTGAAGGGACCCCCCCGGAGGCCATGAGGCCAGTGCATGCTGTTCCCTCCTGCAGGACTACTCAGCCATCATTGACCTGGTGGAGACCCTGAAGGCCTTGCCCACCTGTGATGTGGCCGAGCAGCATAATGTCTGCTTCCACTACACCTTTGCCCTCAACCGGTGGGTTGGCAGAACAAGGCTCAGGTCATAGCCACATGGAGACATGGGTCTCTGCTGTGCAAAGTCACTTCAGCCTGCAATCACGGCTGTTCAGGGAATTTGCGGCCCAGGATCACACTGATGTCAAATGGTCACTAGGGTTCTGTTTCTGCTGCCCAGGGTGGGGTGGGGTGGGGTGGTGGTGCCGACCTTGGAGTAGTCACAGCTGTCTAAGGCCACGGCTCCTCAGAGTCACTGCAGTCACTTCCATCTGGGACTCCCACCTCTCGGAAAGTCAGCGCTGACCAGAGACACCACTCTTCTGGGTTCATGATGGTCAGGCCCTTGGGAAGGTCCCTGCTGTTCAGGATCTTGGGGTTTCTGGACAGAGAGTGGGTCTCCAGCCTATCTTCCCCTTCCCCCTAGGAGGAACAGGCCTGGGGACCGGGAGAAGGCACTGGCTGTGCTGCTGCCACTGGTACAGGTGGAGGGCCCGGTGGCACCTGACCTGTACTGCATGTGTGGCCGTATCTACAAGGACATGTTCTTCAGCTCTGGCTTCCAGGATACTGGGCACCGGGAGCAGGCCTATCACTGGTAAGGGGCCCAAACAAGTGGACAGTGGGCTGAGCTAGTGGACTGAGGGATGGGGCTGTGGGCATTAGTCCATTCCCACATCACCCCCACCCTCACCCCAGGTACCGCAAGGCCTTTGACATAGAGCCCAGCCTCCACTCAGGCATCAACGCTGCTGTGCTCCTCATTGCCGATGGGCAGCGCTTTGAGGACTCCGAGGAGCTCCGGCTCATAGGTGAGCCCCAATCCTGCACCCCATCCCCTACCCACAGGCGCTCTGAGGGGCTTGGAGAGAGGGCAGGGAGAGAGGACACTGGGCTAGAGCTGGGGCTGCCCCATCCCATTTTGGACCTGTTCTGCCTGAACCCACACCTGGGTCCTCATGGGTATCCTGGACCCTCATGAGCCCCTGAGGCCACAACTGTTCCTAAGCTCACACCTGTGTTCCTTACACACTGAATTCCATGTACACTTGTTCCCACACCCTCACCTGTGCCTGAGCTTCTACTCCCACCTGAGATCTGGCCACACCTAAGTTTTCACCCATTTCTATCTTCCTACCCATGTGACTTTGGCGGCCTACACCTGGGCTTTGCCAAAATCCGCAACCACATTCATTACAACCCAGGCCCCTCTCTCCTAGGCATGAAGCTGGGCTGCCTGCTGGCCCGAAAAGGCTGCGTGGAGAAGATGCAATATTACTGGGATGTAGGCTTCTACCTGGGAGCTCAGATCCTCGCCAATGACCTCACTCAGGTGGCACTGGCCGCAGAGCAGCTCTACAAGCTCAACGCCCCCATATGGTGAGCGGCCCCCTCTGGGGTCCTGGGCTGGCCTGGGCTGTCAGCTTCTGCACCTATATCCCCTGGCATCTAGTCTGAATCCCTTCCAGACCGGTACCCACGGCAACCGATAGCCTGATTCTGGCTGCATCCGAACCAGTCTAGTACCGCTGGCAGTGCCAGTTGGTGCCTGGACTGAAGACATGCCTGTTGTTTGCAGGTACCTGGTGTCCGTGATGGAAACCTTCCTGTTGTATCAGCACTTCAGACCCACACTAGAGCTTCCTGGAGAAGCCCCCCACGGCGCCCACTTCTGGCTCCACTTCTTGTTACAGTCCTGCCAGCCACTCAAGACGGCTTGTCCCCAAGGGGACCAGTGCTTGGTGAGGTCAGTGGGGTGTGGGACCCAGGAGAGGTGCCGGCCCCTTCTGACCAACCCCTCTACCCTGTCTTCTGCAGGTGCTGGTCCTGGAGATGAATAAGGTGCTGCTGCCGGCCAGGCTGGAGGTTCAGGGTACAAACCCGGTGAGCGCGGTGACCCTGAGCCTGCTGGAGCCCAAGAAGCAGGTGAAGTCGCCGGTGAGCCACCCCCATTGACATCTATGCACCTCTTCTGTCCGGCCTTCCCCCCCATCCCCAGACCCCTCTCCCTGTCCCCAACACCCCTCTGGGACCCCTTTCTTCGCACAGGACGTTCCCTCCAGCTGGACCTTCCTGGTGGCCTCCATCAGCGGCGTCAGGTAAGAGGGGGCCCTGGAGGAGGTGGGGGTGGGGGCGGCGCGGCTGGGAGGCCGGCTCACCCGGGTCCTTCATCCCTTCCAGCGTCTCCAAGCGGGACGAGCGCTGCTGCTTCCTCTACGCGCCTCCTCCCGCTCAGGACGTCCAGCTGTGCTTCCCCAGCGCCGGGCACTGCCAGTGGTGCGCGCGGCCCCGCGGGGTCGGGGTGCTCCGAGGGCCAGGAGGCCCGGGGCATCGAGGGAGAAGAAGGGACCATGTTCCCCGGGTGCTCTGGGCAGAGAGGGGAACAGTTTCTGCCCCAGGTTGCCCTCCCGTCAGTCTTGATCTCCGCCCTCAGGTTCTGCGGCCTGATCCAGGCCTTGGTGAAGAGTCCGGACTCCGGGGCGCCTGCGGAGGAGACGGAGGGCGTTGGGGAGGTGTTGGAGGTGAGGGGGTGGGTGCAGGGAGCTTGAGGAGGGGGGTGGGCCGAGGGTCCCCCTGAACCCCTCATCTCACGCGCCCTCGCAGTTTGATTACGAGTTCACGGAGTCGGGCGAGCGGCTGGTGCTGGGCAAGGGCACGTACGGGGTGGTGTACGCGGGCCGCGATCGGCACACTCGTGTGCGCATCGCCATCAAGGAGATCCCGGAGAGAGACAGCAGGTTTGCGGGCGAGGGTATGGGCCCAGGGCGCCAGGTCACATGGGCGGGACCGGAAGTTGAGAGGCTCCTGGGGCCGGATGGTAGGCCGGGGCGACGCAGAGGCCCACGTGGTCGGGACTGAATGCTTGCGCTCAGAGAAGCGAGAGTTCGGGCCCCGTGGGCCCAGCCAGGCCTGTGCACAGAACCGCAGGGACCCAGCGGGTGGGCTAGGGTCCGGAGGGGCGTGTGGGCAGGGTGATAAATTGAGGAAGGAGGAGGCGGGGGTCTGGTGGGGTGAGGGGGGAGAATCTACAGGCCTGTCTTGCTGGCACTGGAGTGGGGGTAAGCGCCCCTGCCCCAAGCAGGCCTGTTAGTCACTCCCTACTTGTCCCCAGGTTCTCTCAGCCGCTGCATGAAGAGATCGCTCTGCACAAACGCCTACGCCACAAGAACATTGTGCGGTATCTAGGCTCCGTCAGCCAGGGCGGCTACCTCAAGATTTTCATGGAGGAAGTGCCTGGAGGTATCTGCCCTGCGTGGGAGGCAAATGGAACTGGAGTTGTGGGGCCTGGGGATGGAGCCAAGCAAGGGGTGGAGAACCCTCTGGGGAAAATGACCCCTAGCCTGTGTGGGTGGTATAGCCCAGAATTACCTGAGGCAGTGCGATTGGGTGATGGAAGCTGGGCCATGGCCTGGCCTTCGAGCAGACAGCTGTGGGCTGGACTAAGTGGGTGCCAATTATGGCCCTGGACTGCACCTTCCCAGGCAGCCTGTCCTCCTTGCTGCGGTCAGTGTGGGGACCCCTGCAGGACAACGAGAGCACCATCAGTTTCTACACACGCCAGATCCTGCAGGGACTCAGCTACCTGCACGACAACCACATTGTGCATCGAGATATCAAGGTCAGCCTGTAGCTGGCTCACCTTGGTGGGGGGTGGGGTGGGCAAGAGGGAGGAACAGAGAGGGCTCCAGACACAGGCTGGCAGTTTAGACTAAGTGGGCAGACCCTTTGCAAAAGCTTGGGAAATTCATCAAGAAGGTTCCCTAGGGAAGGAAAGAAGTTCAGATCTGAAGCCAACTTCCAGGATTTCCCTGATTCTTCCAGGGGTTAAGAATCCACCTGCCAATGCAGGGGACATGGATTCCATCCCTGGGTTGGGAAGATCCCACATGCTGTGGGCCAGCTAAGCCTGTGTGCCACAACTGAGTCCGTGCGCCCTAGAGCCCATGCTCTACAACAAGAGAAGGCACCGCAGTGAGAAGCCCAGGCACCGTAACTAGAGAGTAGCCCCCACTCGATGCAACTAGAGAAAACCTGCACACAGCCACAAAGATCGAGCACAGCCAAAAATAAATTAATAAAATGCAGCCAACTTCTAGGGGGACATAAATGGGATGGCAGGGGGAGGGGGTTGAGAGAGGCAGGGTCAGGCTGGGAGTCTCGGGAGATGGGGTCTGGGATAGAGTCTGGTTCTGGCATCAGGAGCCCAGTCCAATGTCTGCTGAGCACAATGTCCACTCTGCTCAGGGGGACAACGTGCTGATCAACACCTTCAGCGGGTTGCTCAAGATTTCTGACTTTGGCACCTCCAAGCGACTAGCAGGCATCACACCCTGCACTGAGACCTTCACAGGTAACAGGGTGTGGAGTGGTGAATGGGGCTTGCTGATGTGGGGCAGAGAACTCTTGGGACATTCCAGGGAATGACATTTCTCCTGGGCATGGAGTTAAAGTCTTAATGGGGGATGGAACCTGGGGCAGGTCACTGAGCCAGGGGGCAATGATACAATCTAGAACTGGAGCTTGGAGAGCTGATAACTGAATTGATTGAGTTCAGTCCCTGAAATGGAGCCCAAAAGTGTGAATGCGGACCAAAGTTCAGAGCAGATGATGCAGTCCAGGATAGATGATGGCACCTCCTGTGGGTGATGGAGGCCATGACTGATGGAGCCTGAGATGAGTGAGGAGACTCGGGATAGAGGTTTGACGACCAGGGTAGGTGATGGGAACTGTTTCGGATGATAGAGTTCAGGATGAAAGCTGGTGGCCAGAGGATAATAGAACTCCCTGCCACCCCCACGGTGATACAGCCCAGATGAGCATTCCTGCTACTGCTCCTGTCCTAGGGACCCTACAGTATATGGCCCCAGAAATCATTGACCAGGGCCCACGAGGTTATGGGAAGGCAGCAGACATCTGGTCACTGGGCTGCACAGTCATCGAGATGGCCACAGGTCACCCGCCCTTTCACGAGCTAGGGAGCCCGCAGGCTGCCATGTTTCAGGTGAGATCCTCAGGGCCCGTCTTATGAGGTGGGGTGGGGGTAGACTGAGTCCCGAACACCTCTAAACATGTCCCTTGTTCCCCATCCCTGCTCCCTTCCCAGGTGGGCATGTACAAGGTGCATCCGCCAATGCCCGGGTCTCTGTCAGCTGAGGCTCAAGCCTTCCTCCTCCGAACTTTTGAGCCCGACCCCCGCCTCCGAGCCAGTGCTCAAGCGCTGCTGGCGGACCCCTTCCTGCAGCCTGGGAAGAGGAGCCGCAGCCCTGGCTCCCCCAGACAGGTTCTAAGGTCCTCAGGTACTAAGTGGGTGGAGGGAGTGAGTACCCTGGGGTAAGGGCAGCGGAGGTCTGGACGGATAGGGCTCAGGGGCCCCGGCTCATGGCCTTGTCCCTCCCCCAGAGGTGCCATCCGACAGCCCTGCTCCTTCAGCGGACTCCACCTCCCAGTCCCAGACATTCCCGCGCCCTCAGGCACCCTCTCAGCACCCTCCCAGTCCCCCTAAGCGCTGCCTCAGTTATGGGGACTCCAGCCAGCTCCGGTGAGCACCCAGGGTCCCAGGGTGGGGTCACTTCATCTGGTTTTGTCCCCGGGGGACTCCCTCCAGCAAAAGCCCTTCTTTTGGACCCAGACACTTGGACCACGTGCAAGGATGGCATTAGGTGCTGTCCTCCCAAATGCCCTTATTGAAGTTTATTGTGCCTTCTCAATACTGAGTTCATCTCTTTTATCCCTGTGAGGTGGGGAATAAAAGTAAAAGCCAGGATTCAATCTTCTGGGGTGGAGGTGGCTGGGTGGTGTTGCTGCCCGTCCTCCATCGGCCACTCTTCACTGCACCCAGGGTGCCCGAGGAGCCTGGGGCTGACGAGCCCGCGTCCCCTGAGGAGAGTTCGGGGCTAAGCCTCCTCCATCAAGAGAGTAAGCGCCGGGCCACGCTGGCCACGGTACTGGAGCAGGAGCTGCCGGCCCTGGTGGAGAGCCTGCGCCTGCAGGAACAGGTGGGCGGCTCGCCCTAGCGCCCCCTGCTGGTCGAGCCCCGACAGGACGCCTGCTTTTCCTGCGGACGGCCTAGCGCCCACCCCGTACATCCTCCCATGAGCATCTCTTCTGGCTCATCCGTATACTCGCTGAGGACCCTTCTCTTCCTTCCCAGGGTCCCCGTCTGGAGAAGGGTCATGTGGAACAGCTACTGCTCTGCCTCAGGGCGCACATCCACACTCCCAGCCGTCGGCAGCTGGCCCAGGAGCTGCGGGGACTGCAAGGGCAGCTTCGGGCTCAGGGCCTTGAGCCCGAGCTTCTGCAAGGGCCGCTCTTCGCCTTCCCGGATGCGGTGAGGGAGCCCTCTCACAGTACGGCTGCCCAGCTTCCCAGGTGGTGCTTGGTGGTAAAGAACCCACCTGCCAATGCAGAAGGCATAAGAGACTCGGGTTCGATCCCTGGGTTGGGAAGATCCCCTGGAGGAGGGCATGGCAACCCACTCCAGTATTCTTGCCTGGAGAATCCCATGGACAGAGGAGTCTGGCATGCTACAGTCCATGGGGTCACAAAGAGTCGGACTAATAATGAAACAACTTAGCACGCATGCACTCAGTAAGGGGTAGTGAGCTCCCAATGCTTGGGCATGTGCAAGGACTTGATGTCACAAGATTCCGCGTCTTTCCCGTGAAGATAGAGCCTTTGGGAATGGGACGCCTGCCCAGTCCTAGCTGCTCTGACCCTCTTTTGATCCCAAGCCCGCCCACCCTACTTGCCTTTCTAGGCTTTTCCAACTCAAACTCCACCCCTACTTGAGGCTCAGCCGTCTCAGCCGCACCCTCCCTCCCTCTCCAGGTGAAGCATGTCCTCCGCAGGCGCCAGATCCGCCCACACTGGATGTTCGTGCTGGACTCGCTGCTCAGCCGCGCTGTGCGGGCAGCCCTGGCCGTGCTGGCCCCAGGTGGGCGTAAGGGCGGAGCCTACCTGCACGCCTGTCCGTGGGGCGAGGATGTGATCCTTGGGGGAGTGGCGAACACCAGTAGGGCAGGTGGGGGCGTGGTCAGCGAGGCCCGGCCTATACTCGGCGCCAAGGAGGGGGACGTGGCCAAATGGACATCTCCCAGGCTGACGCGGCCTGGACGGTGCCCAGAGTCCCGTGTCTTCTGCCGATGTTGGGGTCCTAAATGGGCATTCTCGTCTTGCCTGAGTTCAACACCCCTCGAATTGGCAGAGGCGGAGAAGGAGGCGGTCCCACCGAAGTCGGAAGAGGCCAATAACACAGAGGAGTCTGAGCCCAAGCAGGAGACCCCAGCCCCAGCCGAGCAGAGCCCTTTCCTGGGGGAACCGGAGCCGGGCACCCCTTCTCTGATGGTGCAGCTGGGCCTCTTGCGAGCAGAGACTGATAGGTACAGCTCTGGGACTTGCCCATAATCTCTGCACAAGCTTCACCCCTACTCCCCCTCCATTCTGTGGGCTTCTGCCTTCAACAGGCTTCGAGATGTTCTGGCTGAGAAGGAAAGGGAATGCCAGGCCTTGGTGCAACTGGCCCTCCAGCGGGTCAATGGGGAGGCCAGGACCTGTGCCCTGGCTTCAGACCCCCCAGGTGAGCAGGACCAGGCTGGTGAACATGAATGGTGGGTGGGGGCAGCTTCTTGGCTGAGGCACCCTTGGGTTCAACCTGAATGTGACTTCTCCTTCAACCTCAATATGACTTCTCCCTGACCGCAGCTCTCATGGTGGACCAGGGCCTGGTCCAGTGGCTACAGGAACTGAATGTGGATTCAGGCACCATCCAGACGGTGAGGGGAAATGTGCTGGTTGCCCCTGATACCCACCAACCAAGGACTCCTCTTATGCCCATCTTTCAGCTCTTCTCCCTTTCTCCGTCTGATGCAGAGACTCTCAATACTGAATGAGCACTTTGTATACCCCTGGTGGCTCAGATAGTAAAGAATCTGCCTGCAATGCAGGAGACCCAGGTTCGATCCCTGAGTTGGGAAGATCCCCTGGAGAAGGGAATGGCTACCCACTCCAGTATTCTTGCTTGGAGAATTTCGTGGACAGAGGAGTCTGGTGGGCTATATAGTCCATGGGGTTGCAGAGTCAGACATGACTGAGTGCCTAACACTTTCACTTTACTTCCCCCCGCATCGTACATATGAGAAAACTGAGGCACAGAAAGGACTGCTGTTGCATGTTGGTAGTATTGGGTTGGCTAAAAATTCATTCAGGTTAAAAAAAACTCGAATGAACTTTTGGCCAACCCAATAACCCAGAGCTAGTTCTTGGATCTTTGGACCTAGCTTCCTCTGATTTTTACCTCTCCCTGTTTCTGTGTGGGGGTCTCTGTCCACAACCAGCTACTGAACCACAGATTCACCCTCCATGCCTTACTGACCTATGCCACTAGAGATGACCTCATCTACACACGCATCAGGTATGTCCTGGCCCTCGAGGGATAACCCACACACATGGCCTCATGCTGGCCAGATCCTGACATCACCCCACCCCACCATTACAAGCCTGTCTGGGCTCCTCCCTGAAAACTACTGGGACACCAGTGTCCACTGGGGACAGAGGGGGCATCACACAGACAGTGGCTACCAGAGAGGGCCCAGGGCCTTCTTCTGGCTGAGCCTCACCGAGCCTGGTACCCCCAGGGGAGGGATGATATGCCGCATCTGGAGAGCCATCTTGGCACAGCGAACAAGATCCACGCCAGTTACCCCTGGCCCCCAGGAGGCTGAATGAGGACATCCGAGGCAGGAGGCCAGACCCAAGGATGGATGAATGGAGGAAACACAAGAGGCTTCTGACACACCTGCCCCAGGACCCAGTGGCAACTGGAGGAGGCCAGGTGGGTGGGGGGTAGGGTAGGGGCCAGGCCTCTAGCCCCAGTGGGGAGAACCAATCACAGACGTGCCTCAAGCTCATGAGGGCCACCAGGCAAAGACTATTAAACAATACTTTTGTACCCCTGGGCCTTGGCAATGTCTGAAGTATGGATAGGGGTCCTAGGACCAGCTCCCTGAGGTCTTTATGTCTTGAGTCTAAAATTCCTTCCTCTGGCCCCCTTCACTTTCACCACCAACCCCCTCCCCACTCCCAGGCAGACATCAGCCTCCTTGTTGCCCTCAGAATAGACTTTATTTTTTAGCGAAGGGAAGGCCCTGAGATGGGGATCCCAAAAGAGGGCTTTTGTAGAGCATGTAGGGCAGCTATGTCCTGGGGGCCAGGTTGGTTCTGAGGGGCAGAAGGCCATCTACCCACTCACATGGCCGCTCCAGGAGGCTTTGCCACAGCCGCCTCTCCTCATGCGTGGAGTCCATCCAGGGCACCTGGAGCCCGTAACTGCTGCCTGGGTTTAGTGGGCGGGGAAGGGGTGGAAGGCATGGTCACATTGGACACCCCAGATCCTGAGGAACAGTGCCTGGTCCCTGGTCATGCCCCACCCCACCCCCCAGTTCCCAGTGGACACCAAGCTCAGGAAAGGACAGAGACCTGCCCAAGGCCACCCGCTGAGCGCTTGCCTCTTAGCATCAGGTCCCCTCAGGGCTCTGCCCCACTCACCGGTGCCCAGGCTGAGGCGTGTGCCCCCCAGCTGGCGACTGCCCAGGGCCCCATGGTCCCAGAGGGAGAGCTCCGCACAGGCCTGGCGCAGGTCAGCAGGCCCGAAGCCATCATAGACCATGGTGTGATTGAACATGGGGTTGAGGCTGCGTCGCACCACCCTTGTCCGCTGGCGGCTGGCCCGGCTATCATCAGGCAGCACCGAGCTGTGGGGGAGGTGGGCTGACGTCAAGTGGCCACCCCCTCATACTCCCCAGCACCCACTGGTCACCGAGTCCTACCCACACTCCCTCGCAATGTTCATGTCCTCTGGTTCCTGCCTGAGAACCGGCCTCAAACCCTTGCTGGGACCTTTGCTTCGATCTCCTGCTTTTAAATTACAACTCCTATCCACAGGACCCCAGAGTAATGTCCCTGAAATGCCAGTCTGCTGCTCCTCAGCTCAATCACCTTCAAGACCACCCAGAAGTGATTTCCAAACTTTTCTAAAGCAGGCGCTTGAAGCTCTTTCTGCAAAACAAAATATTACTCAGAAGTACAAAACCTAAAGGGAAACCAAAGCCTCTGGTTGAACCAGGGCTGGGAGCTCAGAACCTCATGGGCCCTGCCTCTGTTTTACTCTCTGAGGGTGGAGCAGCAGATGCAGGTGCCCCTAGAATTCCTCCGGTGCTTACTTTGAAAACCACTGAACTGCAAGGAAAACCACAACCTGGTTTTCCAGGTCCTCCATGGGTGGGCCCCCAAGACCCAGTCTCAGCTCTCCAGCAAGTCCTATAGGCGCCAGTCACTGGAATGCAGCTGCTGGAAGGAGTCCTCACTCTCCTGACTCGAGGACTTTGCTCAAGCGGTCCCCTCCACCCCTGCTCAGTGGTCAAAGCCCAGAGGGGGGTTGGGGGGGAATCAAAAGTGGGTGCATGTTGAAGGCGGGGGCGCTCCGTTGCAGGAGAAAGGAAGGGAAGCCGGGAAGTGGCAATACCCCTCACCATTGTACGAAAGTATCCGGGGGCCCTGAGCGCAAAGGGATGAGATCCTGAACCTCCTTCACCCAGAAGTGCAGCTCCCCGCTCGGGGGCAGTCCCGGACCTGCGGAGAGACTCGGCTCAGGCCCTGGCCCGGGGACAGCATCCCCTCACCCTTACGGGACCCAGGTTCCCCACCTCTCCAAGCTCATCCGGCTTGGCCCCTCGGGGGCGGTCACTCACCCTCGGAGCCAGCGGGGACGTACTTGAGGGACAGAGAGAGCAGCCCGCGGCTGGGAAGGTCGTCGGGAGAGGGTGGGACCTGCGAGAGGTGGGCTTGTCAGGGCCTGGGGACGAGGTCCTAGGGAAAGGAGGGGGGCGGAGTCCCCAGAAATTGGTGGGGAGTGTCTCTGGGGCGGGGCTCCGAGAGAACAGCCTGTGGAATCCGAGAGCCACCCAGGCACCAGCCGTCGGAGACCAGACTTCTGCATGGGGCTGTTAAGGTTTCAAGGGCGAAGGGGGCTGGGGGAGAGCCCGGTGGGGTAAAGGCGGGAGATCTGTGCTGGGGTCTCCCCGCGCGAGCCAGCTGCTCACTCGGGGCTGCAGGGGGAGCCAGGTGGGCTCGGGGTCCCAGTCCCACGTGTTCAGGGGCACTTCGACTTCGCCCAGAAAGATGTTGCGACCCAGGCTTTCGCGGTGCCACACGGACAGGCTCAGCACGCGGCCCCGGAGCTCGGTCTGCGGGACAGAGTACTGGGGACAGGAAAGAAAGAAAGGGGAGTCGCTCAGTCGTGTCCGTGAGGTCTTTGCGACCTCATGGACTGTAGCCTACCAGGCTCCTCCGTCTATGGGATTCTCCAGGCAAGAATACTGGAGTGGGTTGCCATTTCTTTCTCCAGGAGATCTTCCTGACCCAGGGATTGAGCCTGGGTCTTCCGCATTGGAGACAGACGCTTTGCCCTCCGCGCCACCAGGGAAGTCCGCTGGGGACAGGAGGTGCACTTAAATAAATGGAGCAGCGTCGAGGCCGCGGCCTCAGTGCTGTCGGAGTGTTCGCTGGGGCTTATCCTACCACGCTCCTTGCTGGAAGGAATCCTGGGGAGCCCCAGAAGGCGTAAATGGGGGTCTGGACTAGCGCTGTGCCCACATCTAGACCGACATGCCGGCGGGTGAGTTAATTCGAGGCCCTCCCTGCCGTTCCTCCCGCAGAATGGAGGATTGGAGCGACCAGGAGTGACAGTACCATGTCTACCCCTGCCCCCCTGGGCCCGCAGGAAGGGGGGGGTTGGGTTCATTAATGGGGCCTGCCCCGTCGTTGAAGCCTCACCCGGAGAATCTCGTTGAAGACCGGGTTCAGATTCCGTTTCTTCACTGTTGTCTTGCGCTTGCTCTGCTTATCTGGGAGGAGGTAGCTTTTGACGTAGCTGGAGCGGGGGAGGTGAGGAACGGAGGTAAGGGGTGGGGGGTGGGGGCTTTACCCTTCCAGCCCCTTCCAGCACTTGCTCCAGCCACAGCCTGGAACGCGTGGCAGGTCTCGTGCCGCGCTTTATAGGAGTTAAATCACCCAACTCCTGCGTCTCCCAAGAAGGTTATTCCCATTTTGCAGATGGGGAAACTGAAGCCAAGAAAAGCGGCGCGGTTGGACGGAGAGCGCGGCACCCTTAGCGCCCCAGCCTCGCGGGGTCGGTCACTCACGGGTCGGAGCGGCGGCGCCGTGCGGCGGCCAGGCCCTGGCACTGGATCACGTGCACGCGCAGCTCGGCGGCCCCCGGCTCGTAGCGCAGCGCGAAGTGCACGGAGCCGCGCACTTGCACGGCGCCCGCCTCCGGCTCCCCTGACAGGCTCATCTGGCTGCCGCTCAGCTGCGGACGGAGGGTGGGAGGTCAGGGCGGGGGACCCGGGCTCAAGTCGGCGCTGGGAAAGCCGAGCGCCGAGGGTTCAGATCGCGGCAGTTGGGGGGTGGGGGTTGGGGGTTGGGGGGTGGGAAGTGAGGTCAAGGGAGGGGTTATGCAGGGGTTGCGTGTTGGGATACGGGGAAAGGAGGCGTCCCCACCCCCACCCCCAGACCCTTTCCCTCGTCCCCTCACCGTGGAGGAGTTGAGGCTGGACAGGGAGGAGCTGCTGCTGAGCATGCGGTCGAACGAGGGGTCGGCCCCCGGGGTCTCCTCCCCATTCTCCAGCATCTCAGACGCCGCCTGGGTCTCAGGAGGGGGGTAAGTGACTAAGTGACCGGGGCGCCCCCGTAACCCCTCACCCCTCCCGCGGCGTTTCCTGGTCCCGCACAGCTCGCAGCCTCGGGCAGAGGCGCTCCCCGCCCAGAATCCGCTCCGGGTCTTGAGAGCAGCCGCGGGCCTCTCCCGCCTACCTGGGCAGGCGGGGGCTGCGGCTCCTCCTCTCCCCTCGACGGCGGCTGCATCTCCGGGTCCGCCTCCTCGCCGGCGACGACCGGAGGGTGCCCCAGGTCAGGGGCTGGGAGGGGCACAAGCTGCTCAGCGAGCCCCTCCGCTGCCCGCCCTCCAACCCGCCCCTGAGCAAATTTGGAGGGACTGGTTTACCAGCCAGGTTCAGGCCCCAGGGCTGCCCTGCGGTCGCCCGTGGAGACCACGCCTCCCCGCCCACAAAACAGGAGGAGAAAGGTGAACACAGGTGTTTGGGGGTCACTTAGAGCTGTCTCTGGGCTTTCCTGGACTGTAGCCTGCCAGACTCCCCTGTCCATGGGTTTTCCAGGCAAGAATATTGGAGTGGGTTACCATTTTCTTCTCCAGGGGATCTTCCTGACCCAGGGATCGAACCCATGTCTCCTGCATTAGCAGGCAAACTCTTTACCGTCTGAGCCACCAGGGAAGATCAGATGGTAAAGAACCCGCCTGCAATGCGGGAGACCAGGGTTCGATCCTTGGGTCGGGAAGATCCCCTGGAGGAGGGCATGGCAACCCGCTCCAGGATTCTTGCCTGGAGAATCCCCGTGGACAGAGGAGCCTGGCGGGCTACTGTCCATGGGGTCGCAAGAGTCGGACACGGCTGGGCGACTAAGCACAGCTCGCAGAGAGCTGTCTCTGATCCCCCAGCCTCCCTGTGCTTTGAACACACACCTTCCCACTCATCTTCTTGGGCTTGGGGCTCCTCCTCCTGCTCTGAAGGCTTTGTGGGGACACATGGTGAGGAGACATCCGGTCCCTGAAAGAAGCAAGGGGTAGAAGTCACAGTGGGGACTGGTAGTGA